GTAGAGAGTTTACAATAATTTTTTTTTTTTTTTTTTCTTTTATAAAAGAATTTATGATATATTATATCTTTTTAAAACACAAATGATATAATCAATCTTTTATCTTCGTTTTTGGTAATGTTCATTTTATTTTCGTTTTTGAGTCCTATATGTGTGTATTCAATAACACACTTTCTGTTTATTTATATTTACAAATAATAAATTTTCTTTTATTATTATAATATGCATATTATGACACAAATATGTAATTTTAGGTAAATCTACTTACCTGGTTTTCTTTAAAGTACTACTTATCTGGTTTCCTTGTAAAAATAAATTAGTATCGAGTAGACCTTGATAAATAATGGATTAAAACGGATTCAGCAGATAGACAATAGAGATCATTGATCACATTCACTACAATCAAATTAATAATATTAGAAATATATATAATTGAGTGATGCTTTAACATAAATAGTTGGTTATTGGCATATAAAATCTGTTTTCGATGCTGTATAATTTATGATAAATTCTGTACAGAATTCCATTTATAATTTTATGTATTGTAATACAGAGAATATTTGAAGAGTGAAACCAGACACATATACAAATACATATTAAGATATAGATATATTAGAATAAAATTATAAATAGAATTCTATCTTCAATTTTATTGCAAATTATAGATCGTTTGTAAAGATCAGGCTTAGATCAACTACATTTAATTAAAAAATGAAGCATTGTGTCTTCTTTTCTTCTAGGATTTTCTAAACACAACTGATATATAGTTAGAAAGAATTCTGTATATTAAGAATTTTAAATATAGTATACAATTTGAAAATGAATTATGCATTTGAAAAACTTATTTGGTACATTAAATCTTTTTCATAATAATATAGTAATAAACAAATTTTCATTGTTTTAACAATAATTTTGTTCAAAATATATTATAGATTTTATAGTATATACTTAAGCTATAAGATCACGTTCATAGCAATGATTGCTTCCTAAATCTTAGTCACATCCGTGTGTTTTCATTGCTTATTGTCTATACTTTGTCTCGCATATTATATTAGTATAGAAATAAATATAGAAATTTTACATATTAACCTCTCTTTTTATCAAAAATCTACATATCCAACAAAGCATATACAATTAACACATAGATATTTTTACAATCCAAGATACAGAAAAACTTGATAATTTTTCAATCTCTTTCAACTCTATTAAATAATCATAAAGAAAATGGTTAATAATTATTTATATCACTTAGTAACTATAGAATCCATATAGATAAATGAAGACTCCTGTTTCCTCACTGCAACATATTGCATTATGATATCATTAATGAGAAATTATGTAAAATAATTTCGTTTTTGCATTATATATGTTGAAAGAAATTTATTCTTTCATACATCATAATTCGCATTCTATACTATCAAATGTATGTGTACTCTGACATTTAAGAAAATTAATATATTTCAACATATGTACAAAAAGATTTTCCAAAATGTTTTGTTTTTGATATTATAATATGATTACAATGGAGAAACAGGGCAGGCTTATAAGGAAAAAAATATATAAATATTCACATATAATTCATATATCTCTAAAAACAAATCTGAGGATAAATAATACATGTGCCTATTTAGACTTATATTATATACTTTGTTTGGAATTCCATTTACACTATTCGAATTTGATAGATTATACTTGTATCTTTTAAAATGATATGTAAACTTTTATGTCATTTTCAAAAAAAGTCACAGAATTTCAGTTCAAATACCATATTTCAATATGATTCCATTGAAATTTCAATACGATTCGCATTGAAATTTCTTTCATATATAAAGTTTTATAGTGCCATTAATTTTTGGTTAATTATTACATAACTGGAAAGTAAATATATATTTATATATATATGTACACACAACCCCATCATATTAAATATAAATTTCAAACAATTTTTCAACAATACAATTTTCAATAATTCACAGTCATATACATATCTTCGAAAGTAACTTCTATATTCTTAAAACTAATGAAAATTATAATTAAATAAAAATAAGCAACATATTTTAAAACATATTCAACAAACACAAAATTGGAATTAGGTATATTCATTCTATTTTATATATTTACCATATCTTTCAACAGCACAGATCCACTGGCATAAGATTTAGGAAATTCTTTGTAATCTTTTATATAGATTAATGACATGAAAGTTATCAACAAGATGAAGTATATGCCTGCAGATTTAAAAAGCTAACACCTGCGACGGATTTGTACAATCTCCTATTGTCATTCTATGCATTGCCATTTCCGTAATACCATGATAATGTACAAAAGCAGCTGCAATTACTAATACATGGAAGATTTGATGACTCTGAAACTAAATTTGAAATGAAATATACAGAATATATTGCTAATATAATCAAACTTTGTCTGTAAAAATCGATATTTTGAAATTGACTTTTTAATAGAGCCTACCCAAATATCAAATTTTCCTGGGAAAAAACGTTCAGGTACCCTTAAAGCATAAAATAATGCACCCAGTATATACAAACATCCCATCAGTATTAACCATCCAAGGGATGCTTGGCTAATTGCCTTGAACCAACCTTCGGCGATAGCATAATGTACTGCTGGTATTACCTAAATATAATGATAATAGATTTATTTAAGATATTTATTCTAAAGTAACAAAAAAGCTATATCCTATAAAATAAATTAAAATAACTTACCCCGCTAAGCCCAAATCCCATAAAAACTCCAGCTCTGAGTGGACGATAGCTTGGTTCACCAAATCGTTCCCACAATGATACTACAATGCTAGTTATACCAAGGACAACCACCACAGATAGATAAATTAGTTTAGGTTGATAGTCGCAATAAAATCCATAATAAAGCCATGGTACAAAACTACCCATAATAAGCATAGCTATGCCACAATAATCTAATTTTGAAAATAACTTTCCAACACATTCACTGTGGCAATGAACTGTGTGAAAGGCAAATGACAATCCTAGGCACATTATAGCACCAGCAAAGAAAGTACCAAATACCAATTTTTCTTCCAATTGAATTTCTATAGGAGGTTGTGTTAGAAAAAATATAGCTATACCAATAAAGGCAACGCAGCCTGTAAAGAATAAAATATATTATGAGTAGAATTTATAACCAAAAGTTATATAGAATATGCTTAAAAGAATATGCTACATATATGCTTCTTTCCAGAAATTGCACATCAATATACATTCAATGTTATTTAATACTGCATTGATAAAAAGATATACCCAACAAATGTGTCCAGATATTGCCAGTTTCTGTATGAATTCGAAAAATACTTTTAAAACACGCATAAAACGAGGGTAGTGGTGGCCTATGGCCAGCGTGTAAAAAATCGTTATCTTGCAACCATCTTGGCAAGTTCCGAAAATGACATTGTTTCCATGATGCCTCCCATACCTATAAATAAAAGTTTAAGTTTTAAAGAATACTGATTACAATTTCTAGGTTAATTTCAATTGTTATAACTAACTTTTTGCAACTGTTTAGTGACATAAGCATATTCTTATTACAATAGTATTACTATAAATATTAGTGTATCGTGTTACCTTTCGAACAAATTCTTCCGCCTGTTCTGCTGCATTATGGGCTAATGCACCTAGATCAATTTCATCGCTCAATACACCTGCTTTCAGCACTTCGGTCATCTATAATTTACACAATAAATGTTTATTCAATAGTTAATTGCATTTATATTCTTCAAAGACAACAATAAATATACCTCACAATCCAGAAGATGATCATCTTCCGGAGTTGAAGGCAAAGGACATCCGACTCCATCTTCTTCTTCTGCCAAACAACTTGCGTCATCATCGTCTAATAATTCTTTAACTTCATGTAAACCAGGTATGTCACTATTTAATAATACACGATCGCTCCATGGAATACGATGTCGTATTCCTCCTAATTCTGCTGACAAATATTCTTCTTTTTCTTTGGCCTCCAGAATGACGTCTTCGTATTGCGACATGATTCAGAGTGATTGTGACTGCAACTCTACAAATATGTTTGTTGTTTTGTAAGAAAAAATAATACAAGTTACATAACAAATTATTGAAAATCTGTATCTATAAACATATATTTGTATTCGTAATCTCGATATAAATTCTTAATATAATGCATATAAATTGTAAAATATAAAATTGAAGTTCATAAATATCTCTCTTATAATCATTATTATTTTTGATAGATATAAATCTTCACGAAAAGTTATATTTCTGCTGTAAATTTACTTTTATTTATAAATCTATGTTTGATGTGAAAAAAAAAAAACAATTTTCTAATAAGAAATAAATATTACACAATATTGTATCGCGTGTAAGAAAATGACGAAAAAGTTAACAAAGTAAGATTAATATAGTAGTGAATTGTAAAGACTAGTTTAAAATACTGATTAACTGTAAATTATTAGAACAAATATATAGTGTCTGCTATATTTAAATCGAGATATGATTTTTGTCGACCACAAACATATTACATATACTCGCGTCACAAATATAATTTTTACAAAAATAGTCTGACTTTTTTTAGTATATATACATGTATATAAGGATTGTGACTTATTATGTAAGACAATAAATACATATATTGCCGAATTTTCCGAGTCACTCCGATTCACCAATGACATTTTAGATAAAGATAAGTCTCTTTATTAAAGATTATTTTTCGTTTAACCTTTTGGATTGCACAAGCTAATTTCTTACTGTAAATGTGATTATGACAAATAATATAAGTTTAAAAAAAACACACACGTAACGGATATGAAAGAAATAATTACTTCATAAATAATGTATCACTAATAAAATATTATGAGCGACTTGTATAAAAATATTTCAGTATCTACCAGTCGCACGATTCCTGCGTTGTAATGTTCACATTTGCACGGACATACTTTCATAAATTTTAGGCTGTAAGAATATTACAATGGCTTAAAAAATTACGTTTCTTGTTTCGTTGTCACGTTTAATCTAAAAATGCTAATGAAACACGAAACACCACGCAGCAACAGAAACGCGTGGCAAGTAGCGACACGATAATAACCGATGAACTCGCACACATACACGCACAACACACACACACACACACACACACCACACACGTATTGAAATTGAGCTTGAGCCTTGAGCCTTGAGAATGCGAGAGAAACTTTTCTATATGAAAATGTATATTCGCCCAGATGGCGATTATATTGTTTTTGTGACGTAACTGTAATTTGAAAAATATAAATAACTAAATTGATAAAATAACAACACATATATATATATTTCTATTATTAAGAAAATTGATAAAGAAAATTTATTTTATTATATATGCGCGCATATATACAAAATACTTTAATATTAACTCTTATATTGCTGTGTCCGTAGTATATAAAATAAAATAAAAAGATATCACGCGTAGCTAATAAAACATATTAATAAATTCATATATATTTCTTATTGACATTATGGATGTAGCATGGACACACACCAAACGGAGATTTTATTACCGGTAGCATCGAAAAGTAAATGTGGCCATGTAGTTCCAACCGGCTGTTAAATGAATATAGAGGCGCCACTGTATGCAAGCCGCTCTCAATCTTCTCTCTGTGGGATAGTACATATACACACACACACATATTAATCATATATAATGAGCGAACGTATATTTTCATATCTGTAAAGTCTTTTGTTCGAGAAAGGCGGAATCTTTTCCTGATTCATTCTCTCCATCCTTCAGGTACGTCATCAATAGATCTATATGTTTGCTCGTGTTTATGTATATATTTGCGCGTTTAGAAAACACGATTGAATATCATCGGTTTTTCGGATCTAATTTGAAAATATATGATCGTTATACTCTTTAATGCAATAATGAGATTTTACAAAATCTCCGAAAATCTCATTATTTAAAGGAATTTTTTAAATAGTACTTAAAATATCTCAATGAAAAAATTTAATTCAAAAGCCGCAAAATATGCTACGATAAAAAATGATAAATATATAAATACTTTGTTTTATTTGCATATTTAGGAATTATCTATGCATTAATTCTTCATGATTAACTAATTTTGTGATTAGCTTTTTTAAGAATTTTAAAATTGAAACAGTTACAAAAGTTCTTACTTCCTTCAAGCATAGAATTTTTTTTTCAAGAATTTATTTCAGTAACAGTTTTATCTAATTCTTTATGGCACATTACATGAAATATTTGCACACAATTTTTGTGTGCAAGAAAGAAAAATATTCCGACAATAAATGTTTGTTTATTATATGAAAAGAGAAAAAATGTCTGGAATACAAGATAAAATGAATAAACTCATGTAATATTTGCTTCATTTTCGACTTTTCTTTAGTCGTCATTTATATCAACGATAATAGTATAGTGCAGTTTTCAACTTGCAAATTTAACTAATTAATATATAATAATGCAATTTTAACTTATCGGAAATTAGTTTAATCAAATCCGTACAAAGTGACACAATAAAATAAGTTTATTTACAATCTATAGCTTACACACACTTCTTACAATAAAGGTTCGAGGCTTTCTAATATTATTATGTACAGATAAATGTCGCCAAAAATGACATTGTATCATAAAAACATATACAATATACTGTCAAGACCATAAAAATATCTGCACAATATTATTACAAAGTAATGTTCATCGAAATAAAGAAATAAGAATTTTGGCGAATTTTTAAAAGATCTTCTATTACTTCTATTATTTAAACATTACACTTTTTTTAATGATGAAATATATAACTCATCTTTTTATCAGTCAATAATTTAAAAAGTATCTATGCTATAATCTTTTTCAGTGAAATATAAATTGGCGTAATTATAATAAATCTGCTGTTCATTAAATTTTTGTAATTATCTACATGTAATTTTTATTAATGTCTCAATTTAAAATTAAACAAACATGTTTTTCTGGCTTGGTATACACAACATTCACGCAGACAGATATACAACCATACATATTTCTTTTTATATTCTATATACATATTTTCATATATGTTATTTAACATGTGTCACAAAGAATTCTATTTAAAATAGAAAATATAAATAAAAGGCCATTGCGCGTAATAAAAATTAAAGTACAAGCGCGCGCCAAATCTTACGTTATCGAAAACTCGAAAGTCTTTAAGGCCATTTTCTTGAATAATCCAATATCGATTTTTATATATGTCAATATTGTCTTTAATGTACATTTCATTCAATAAGAATCAAAATTTAACCTCGTCTTCGATAATCTTTTAACATTCGCGATAAAAAGTTATCCAATGTTAATACTTTTAAAATTTATTGAAATTTGCTTTCTACTTGCTTTAACATTTGTGTGTATATTAAATATTTTATGTAATTATTAATTAATCTTTTTCTCTACAACTTTACTTAGCATCATTCATTATTTTATAACAATACTATGATTATTATCATGAAAACTGCTATTAAAAAAGTAAGATTAAAAATAGTTTTGTTAATTACTGCTATTAAAAATAACCTGCTATTAAAAATAGTTTGCACATTATCTGTGATTTACAAATCTTTATCATAAAATAATAATTTTAACAGTTTTTAAAATATGTCTATAGGATAGATATGTGTGCAGTATGATAGATATCAATAGTTTTCCAAAACTCTGATTTCTATCAACAAAATTGACATATATATACGATTACATGAACGTTATTAAATACTCTTAACAATAATATATTTCGAATATAGTATTGTAAATGCTAAAGCGTCAAATTATCTGTAGTGTAAATAATAAATATACAAAAATTGTGTGATGATTCAAAACAATTCATTGTTCTCGTTATTATTGTTCATCTTGCTTTGAAGATACGGGTCTTTAACGTTTGTCACATTCAAAGCACAGTATTGCAAAAATACATCACACACACAGTCTTCAAATTAAATATAGAAAGCGCTAAATTTTGCTGAATTGAGATTTCGATATCGTTTGACATGCGGAAATGATTCGTTTATTTGCGAAATTAGAGACGATTGGCATAAGATCGTTTTTCGTGTATTAAATAGCACCGGAGATTACATTACTCAATTTGTATTCGTTTAATAATAGATTGCGATAAATTCGCAATTTCACGTTGCTTTTTAAAGCGCATTTAAATGGTTTATATAGCCGTTCGTTGACGACATCGATATCAAGCATCGGAAATAAATCTAAACAATCTAAGGCAATCGGTTTTTGCATTCTAACGATAAGTCTGCTACTTTCGCTCTGTCATAATTTTCTTTTTTTTGATTATTTGCCGAAGATTGCGGCTTTTTGCCGGAATTGCTCTCGCCTCGCCGCTTTTTCCTCCTCTTCTCGTTTTCGCTCCTCTTGCTCCATGCGAATCTCATCTTCAAACTTTGAAGCCTTTCGTAACTGCTCGATCTGCGAAAAAAGAAGCGTTAATCGGAGCACATGCAAAGTGCAACTCGGGTTACGCTTTCACGCATGCATTTTTTCAATGCGAGCGACACGCTGAAGTAACTATCTGGGCCTGTCCCATGTGTCATGTACAATCACATACGTGAATGGGAAATGCGTTTGTTGCGTTCGCAATAACGAGACAAGATTTACAGCTTTTTGTAGTATTGCAACGTTAGTAAATGATAATTTTTTGCAATATAATAAAAAATATTACATAATTTATATTAAATATGTAATAAAATCACTATAATTATAAAAAAGTATATAAGCAATAAATATTTAAAAAAAAGTAAATTTTGAAATCTGAAACACCTATTAAATATAAAAGCTATTAAATTAGAAATTTGCTTAGGTATATCTTAAAAAAAATATATATATACTTTAGCTTCGAAGAAGTTTTTAGCTCCGGTAACACCAACTTCATCAACGTCCACTTCAGTGAGTCTGGCCAGCTGGCTCAATCCAGAATCCTGTTCCAACTCACCGGCACGCGCCTTACGATAGATCAGTAAAAACTGTAACGAGATGTAATCATGGTAAAGACATGAATCAAATGATACGAGTTATGATAAAAGATTTTAAAAGATTAGATTTAAAAAGTCTTTTTAAAAAAGATTAGAAATTATTTAATTTTTGATCGTTTCTTTCAAAAATAGAATTATCTCAATTCAAATATTACTATTCTCGAGATATATATTCTCCATTTAAATATATAAACTTTTTATCTCACGATTATAACAATAATAAATAAAGTAAAATCCCGGCCAAATAGCTCTATTTAATTAAAATATTCTTTGTCATTGGTGCTTTAAATAGGAAATAAAAAGTGAAAAATAAAAGACAGAAAAATAATCTGTTAAAAATAAAAAAAACTCATATGATCGAGGAAATTTAAAAGTGCAACGTTTAATGAATGTAATACGCGACGAAGAGAAGGGGGATACGTTTCAAAAAAAAAGTAAATTTTGAAATCTGAAACACCTATTAAATATAAAAGCTATTAAATTAGAAATTTGCTTAGGTATATCTTAAAAAAAATATATATATACTTTAGCTTCGAAGAAGTTTTTAGCTCCGGTAACACCAACTTCATCAACGTCCACTTCAGTGAGTCTGGCCAGCTGGCTCAATCCAGAATCCTGTTCCAACTCACCGGCACGCGCCTTACGATAGATCAGTAAAAACTGTAACGAGATGTAATCATGGTAAAGACATGAATCAAATGATACGAGTTATGATAAAAGATTTTAAAAGATTAGATTTAAAAAGTCTTTTTAAAAAAGATTAGAAATTATTTAATTTTTGATCGTTTCTTTCAAAAATAGAATTATCTCAATTCAAATATTACTATTCTCGAGATATATATTCTCCATTTAAATATATAAACTTTTTATCTCACGATTATAACAATAATAAATAAAGTAAAATCCCGGCCAAATAGCTCTATTTAATTAAAATATTCTTTGTCATTGGTGCTTTAAATAGGAAATAAAAAGTGAAAAATAAAAGACAGAAAAATAATCTGTTAAAAATAAAAAAAACTCATATGATCGAGGAAATTTAAAAGTGCAACGTTTAATGAATGTAATACGCGACGAAGAGAAGGGGGATACGTTTCGCGAGCGTTTTACGGTAATTCATACCACGATGAGTAAGAGGAAGGTGAGTAAGCTGGGCAAACTACTCGACTATCACGCAATGAATCACAGTCGACGAGCGGGTCGAATCGCGCGTGCACGCATCGCGTATGCGGATCGATTCTCATGCGGCGAGCTTTGTTTGCGAAATACGGTATATCACGTCCAATTGTCTTTGCTTGCATGCATCTCGTATTATAAGTCGAGACACTCTCCTTGGAATGGTACGTGATACTCATACGTCACGGTTTTTTTTCGCAGCTTTTACACGCATCATAGCGAGGTGCACGCGGATTGCGTTAAGAGCGAAAGTTTCAGTTTCACACGCTCTGGAATCCCGCGGACGCGTTGCATCGGTTAGGCTAGCGATTGCAAGGTTAATCTCCCCTCGATAATTTCACGCTTACACTTGATTGTTTTTAGAAGACCAAAACTAGAAATTTGGTTCATTTTCACATGATACCAATAATTACTTTATAACTACATATATGTTTGCTTGTTTTTCCATAGAGCATCCTATTTAATCCAAACGCTAAAAAGCAAGAGACAAAAATATTAATAAATATAAAATTATAATAATATTTAAAATTAAATGTATAATCGTTTTTATGTGATTTAACTTTGTTGTCTTATGTGATTAACATTATGAGTGTTGTTAATTTTTTGAGATTACGGTTATCGTGCAAAATCTGTTTCTAACGGAAGAATTTTAGTTTCGCACATTTTTTTTATAGCCGGCAGTTTTGTTTGGCAGTTGTTAAAATACTCCATCGTGTAGGCAACCGAAATAGAACTTGCCCTCTCTAACGCACGGCTATGCCTGGAGAATAAACACGATCGTTGAATACTCAGTGTATATATAAGTGAGTGAGTTTAAACATTGCATGGGGTCTACTATTTATATATCATATATACGCGTTTGCTACAAATAAATCTGCGAGTCTAATCAGAATTATATCATTTAATATTCTATAATGAAAAAAAAAGAATAAAAGCAGGGATACAAAATTGATAAAAATGTTAATCTGTTAAATAAAAATTTAAAATCTTATCTTTCCAAGTACAATATTTTCTGTAATAAATAATGTATACATTTTAAAAGCAAAAAAGACTTTCTGAAAGATAAAATAAATTTTTCACGAAAATTGGCAAATGCTATTAAAAATAGAATGTATTTCCTTTCAATTGTTACTCTTCCTGGAATATCATGCGTAGTGCACGTGTTTTTTGATGGTTAACATAAGAGCAAAGCTGCACGCAGTGAGGTCTATTTCGGTTCAATATTTTTTACGACCGCAAACGGAATTGCGAGAAGCACTAATGTTGATCAGGGTGATCATAGAGACCATGGCTTATGTTTATACCGACCACATTCAAAGCCGATAGCACAAAGTGTGCTAACCAATGCAGCACATTTCCAAACCATCTGTCTGCGGCATATCTCTCTAATAATAAAACGCACTTGCCTAACATTATTACCTAACAATAATGGAATTGAAGAGTCTCTAATAAATTATGTGTAAGATAATTTTTTAATAATTCGCATAAAAAGTAATGGATATTTATTATATATAAACTTATTTGACCTGTTGAAATATAATTATTGCGAAGTAAAATGAGAAGTTAAATAATTTTATTCTTTACGTTAAAATAAAATAAAAATATTATTACAATTAAATAAATAAATATTACTAAATAAATATGCTAACTATTTTTTATAAATATTTTTTCTATTTTTCAAAACAAAAAAATGATTTATTTAATCACTGCATTCGATAGTTTATTTATACTGTTCATTAGTCCGGGGTATTAGCTATTTCTCAGAGATTCATAAAAATAAACCAACCTCACGGAAAGATATACGACCGTCGCCATCCTCGTCGACCTCCTGGATCATCGCTTTAAGTCCGAGATGCGTTTGCGGTGCACCCAAAACTTCCATCATTCGCTTTAGTTCGGAGAGATCGAGGTAGCCGTCGTGCCCATCGTCGAATCTGCAACAAGTATCGACGATTAGAATCAAAATATTTACAAATCAAAAATTTTATTACCTAGTTTTTCATCTGAAGTATTGTAGTTCATTCCATAGTTTTTCGAGTAACCGTCAATAGCCGAAAAAACACTTTTCGGTACATTTGAAATTGGTTATTAACTGGTTTATTTCAAAGGAGCGAACTACAATCATTTTGATCTCATTTGAAAGATAATTTAATACTGAACAAAAAGTTTCCCATAAATATAGGTCGAAAAATGCTTCCTTAAAAAGTTAGCGCCCAAAAACCTCTAAAATCACGGTTATTTTTTACATTTTTACAAATATCAGGGAAAGTATGCGTCTTTTAACAAAAAGTACCGAAACAAAAGTTGTAGAAAATTAAATTATCTTTCAAATGAGATCAAAGTTCATGTATTGGGTTGAACGGAAAGTTCGTGCCGTCTTCATCTCTTAGTAAAAAACGGAACTTTCCGTTCAACCCAATATTTTAAATACCACCTTTTTCACCTGCAAACTTTTTGTTAATAAAGTGGTGTAACTAATGAAACAAAAGTATTTTGGTTCTAAAATTAAAGTGCGAAAAGAATATTTTATTCCTTATTCACACTTTTGAAGCAATTTTATTCTAACTGAACATTTTTTAATTTTAGATTCCAGGCATAGCGTTATCAAAATTGTTGATAGTAAAACTATCGATCGACCATCAACAATGTGATAAGATACTTAATGCGGTTAAAGCTAATCTATTCTGCTGACTGTTGAATTTTATTACCGACCTCCTTTCTCTACATAAAGTAGAGTGCATTTTTAAGCGATTGACCCGTCAATAAATCATCATTTGAATAAATCATCGCGATGACGCTGGTCAATGAGACGCCCAGCTAAACGTGTCGTACATATTGTAGTTTGTCGCCTCCAGTTAATCGCGATACCGCGTGCAATCTAATCACTAGTCATTAAATGCCGTTGCACGAAGGTTATAGGAGGAAGAAAAGAATTCGGGACACTATCATTACTGACGAACGAGGCGCGATTATCAAACAAATTCGCTGGAAAAGTCGGTAGAGAGGTTGCTTCGATCTAGTCATTCCAGAAATAAAATCCCTCTATTTTATGAAACTCAAGAAACTGTTATGATGAGATAGAAAATGACACAAGTCTCTTAACGAAATTCATTGCGTCATTGTCAACTCAATGATTTCATGAAGTAAACAGTGAAAATATGCACCGTGATATTGATTAAGTTAAATGAAAATAATACGGTCACAGTAATTGCTAAAATTGAATTATTAAATTAAAATTTTAATAATGATATACATTAAACTCTTGTGTCTAACATAGACTGTAAGAAGCGACATAATGAAAAAAAACTGGAGGAAAATTTAGCAAAATAATGCTAATTGATGAATTTAATATTAATTTTCTATAAGATTCCAAATGTATTTTAGTCTCTGCGAATATCTTTTATTCTAAGTCTTTTCGTATGAGACTATGTATCATAAAAATTGATGTCGTTTTTTTTCTATATAAAGAATCTAGAAAATGCAATCTAAAAAAAGAAATTAATTTATTATAAGCAACGATTTTAATTGGAGAAGGTGATTATAGATTTTCTTCGGTTAGGAAAGGATCAGCTGTTGGATGACAATTGTATTCTTCCCCAAGTAATAATCGAGATTGTCTTAACTCGGTCGTCATTAACATTCGCGACTTTCTTCACATTTATTACGAAGCCAATGCGTCTCGTTGGCCGCAATGTACAAGGTAGAACATTTAATAACTGGAACGTCTCTCTCGTAGAAAGCGCCCGAAATAGGTTGAGCAAGATATTTATCTGTAGAAAAAATTGCATCTTCTATTGTCTGAAACTTTAATCTAACAGATTTAATTGACTGTAAAATTTGGTTCGTCGATCTATTTCGGATTTTCCGTAACTGAGACTTATGCAGACTTATGTATGCAAACAGCGTGTCGTAAAAACTTCGGTCCAGAATAATCCTGTGTTGCCATGAGGGCACCGTTGTTCGAATTTTATTACGCGTTGTATCGCCGTCGTCGTAAATGCAAAAAGCGGAAATGATTTATTCCGATGGTACTTATGACGTCGTGCAATCATCGAAAATAACTGCCTAACTGCTTGATATTATTAATTTCGCTCTCTTGCTGCGCGTGGAAAAATGTGGGCGTACGTGAGCTAAAGGTTAACTGGATCGCATTCACGCCTGTGTTAGAAACAATGAGCCGCGCAATTTTATATGCACAATTCTCGTGGAAAGTACCCCACCATCAAACACTCGGTCGAATGTACCGTGGGACGAAATAAATCTGATCGAAATTATCAAATTATAGACATATGACATGATATGCGACATTATATTTACATTTAGCATTATTAGGGATAACTATTAAAATATTTTAGCCTCCAGCATGGAATTTATTCATACATAAATATATTTTATTATTAATTTAATTACATTATTATTTAAATATTTATTGTTCAACGATAATAAATACAGAATATTTAACATTTTCTAAAATAAATTAAATTGCGAAAGGTTTACTTTGTGTGCGAATTTCGTGGAATGTTTAAAGGACATAACTATTTCGCAAAATATTGATGAAAGAGCAATGGGGGGCGTAAATAGATGATCCATGTCTATATCTCTGTATCAATCTGTATTTTTTAATTATCGGGGAACGTTTAACACGCGAGAGTGAAAACGGAGGGAAAACGTGGGAATGATTGGCGATATTCAGATTCGCGAAATCTCTCGACAGGATATCAACTTTACTTCGCCGGAAACTCGTGTAATCGCTTTCCGCGTAAGGGATGGAAAGTTCCAAGGCATGGGATGGAGCATGCTTTCCAACATGACGATGTGATCTCGAAATGGATAAAATTGAGTTCTGTGTTCGTTAGTTTGTCGTATGATACATCGAGATATCTGAAAGACTCGATCTTTACATGGATAATAAAAAAAACAAAAAAAAATAGATTTATTTCTATAGTTATAAATAACTAATTTTAATTAATTTGAAAACGATATATTATAATTTTTGAAAACTGTAATTATATACGCGAAAAAAATATGTTATAACAGTGTATACGCTGAATTGTGATCTGCGTTATCATATATCGCGATGTTGTAAATCTATAGAGAGCAATTATGTTATATAACAGATATACTATCATTGACGTAATTATATCGCAAATTAAAAATCGCTTATTCAATAAATCGATTTTTTTAATCGTCGTGATTAATGAGCTCTGATCATAATCAGTATAATTCTCCAAACGGAAAAATAAGAGTATAGTTGAAGGTTTAAAATTTATCGTGTAGAATATAAATATCAAAGTTCAAGTTTCATTCATGCGCAGTTGGATCAATGATTGTTTGTCATATCTCGCCATAGCTCTCATGATTTTATCTGCCTGAATATATGTGTATTTTTGTCATAATCTTAATTAAGCAAGAGACTGAAAAATCGCCATTCCGCCGTCATTTTCGATTCGAGATCGTTAAAGTGCAGAAGAGCAGAACGTTAAAGGGAATTGCTTCCGCATTAGTTAATTACGTTACTGCGAGGCACCGGAAATTGAAGCGGTGTAGGCGGAAGATACCTGGACGGTAAATCCTTTCAATCAGGAAGAATTGCTCCACTGAAAAGATCAATATTTGCTGGTTCTCGTTATATTTAGTAATCAAATGCGAGCAAAAATCTTTTGTGTTCTTTAGTCCTCCAAATACACATATTTCTATATCTGCCAATAAAATCTGCTTGAAAAACATTAAAATAAGCAGTGATCAAAACATTTCTGTCTCTTCGTAATCATCAGTGAAAATTAAATACTTATACGGACGATTATTGACGTAGGATAGATGAGAAAAAATATGCGTTATAATAATATGATTAAAATTGTTCTCCAATTTTCCTATTTTTCTGTAGATATTTATCTGCAAGATATCAACAAGTGATATTTATAATTTCTCTCTTCTCTTTTTCTGTTTCTTTCTTCCTCCTTCGAAGTTGAGAGAAATTTCACGGGGAAAGAGGGGAGAATGCCAAAGGTGGAGGTCATAAACTTATAAGCACGGTTAAGCAAAGTGATCAATAAGATTGACAGACGTAAAAAGATAAAGGCGATAGATACGTAGGTGAAATATGTTCTATTAAAATCAGCACTTTTATCAAACAACAATGTTCACTTTCCTATTTTAATCAATAAATTCTTTTCGATAATCTAAAATAAATTATCTGCTGATTACACAATGTCTCAAATCAATACTACAATAATAATAAATAATGATTCATTATGAACATATTCTTATAAAAATAAGATTTAGATATATTGTTTTATCATTAAATTTTTAAATGAAAATTGAATGTATATTACGTATTTTTATTTCCGACTCTGTGAATATTTCCATTTTTATATTGTTTTACGAATGATTCGATATCTGATAGATTATTGCAATCACGTTGTTGGATCATTGCGCTCGGCTTGTCGAAATTGCTTCTCGTCAGACAGTTTTAACTGATTGAGTAAAACGCTTCAATCAACGTGAATTGTGTTGAGGCGCCGATGCAACGCGAGTGTTAACGCATTGAATGTGTGGCATAGATTTGATTGACTTTATAAAAGCATAATTAAAAATTGTATATATTGTGTGAAAATGCTATAATAAATAAACATAAATTTATATTTATCGTTGAAATAAGAGTTCCCTTTTAATTTTAAAGTTAAACGTGTTACTATTTTTTGATCTCAGGTCTAGTGAGTTACAGTTAAAAAAAGCTTCTTTTTAAATATTTATTATTATTTGATGAAGAGAAACAGGCATTCGTGATCTTTTTTATGAATATAAAATTCATTTTTGAAAAAAAATTGTATTGCTCGGAAAAATGGGAACAATGCGTTTTAACCGTCTTTACATTTTATCTGACGGTTTTCTTTTCCTAATTGCTACAACATGATAGCGCAAGATACGCAATTAGATCGCGACGTAACGACGCCGATGCGTTCCTAATCTCATTATCACGAAATCACGATCGTTCCGTTTCAGATCGGCTCGACAGTAAGTGTTTCGTTTTCGTTTCGTTTCTCCGCGATTCCTTTTCCAGGAGTAGCCCAGGAGAAAACGGGGTCAAGGTGACGCACGGTGATCCCGATATATCCTTGTTTTCCAAGATCGATACGGCGGTGCTTGGCTCTTCGAGGAACAACGAAGAACGTCATTCCGACGAATCGGCGACGCGGCGAGGACGAGGACAAGGACGAGGACAAGGACGAGGATAATACGTATTTTTTCCCCCGCATTGCCGAGATTTATGATCCTCGACGTTCGTATGAGATTTTCTGAAAGATTTGAGGAAAAAAAATTTTTTTTTTACAGGATTTTTATTGCGATAATATCGAATTGAAAATAATGATGAATTTAATGTAACGTAACTAAAAATAATAGGATATTTTAATTAAAACTATATTTTTTATTAACTGTTTCTTTTCCAAAAATTGCAAACGATAAATATTGATTTTATATGCAAAATAATATTGTCTCGATCGAGTAACAAAAACTCAGATTAAATTAATCTAAATCTATTTTGAAAATTTGAAGATTTTAATAATTGATCAACATCTTTTTTGTTAACTATCGCAAGTGTGACAAGTACTGTTTTCTATCGCGAAAGTATAAGTTATTGTCTTCTTCTTTTAAATAAAAAGAAATATCGGATCTTCTTTCTATTCTAAAAGTTTCCACATTTTAATAACTAATTGGTATCTTTCCTTTACGAAGAATATAGGACTGACTTAATATGTGAAATTGTAAGAAAAAAAGTATATATACAGTACAAATTAGAATTCTGCGAAGTTGAAAGAATCCCATCGCTCATTGTGAGCCGTGGAAGTATTTCCTAAGCAGGGACAAATGCCGTCTGTGAAATGTTATGTCTTTTCCCATCAATGAAACATTATTTAAAATGTCTAGCGGTGCTGCTGATAGGAATACCGAGTACAACTTCCATCGTCGCCGAGTCAAGTCGTAGAATAAATTCTTATACTGTTTATATATTCGGAACGCGCGATTTCTTCGAGAACAGCCACGAGGAATAACGGTTTGCGATGCCAATGCAACGAAAGCGTCTAAGAACATTTTTTTCTTTTAGTTCTTAAAAAAAAAAAAAAAAAATGGGAGAAGACTAAAATTAAAAATCTCTTAAAAATTTCTCAAAATGTTTTTACTCAATTATTTCTTAACACAAATAATCTCCGATATGAAAATATTTCTTACCAAAACGTATTTCTTACGAAAGCATTCTGGAAAAATATTAAATATGTTGAAATAGTATTTCCTGTTTTCAGGAAAGTATTCATTATATTGCATGCAGAGATATCGATTCCAAAAGAACATATCTCGAATGTATATATGCATTCCCCTACTTTAGCAGCGAAAGGGTTAAGGTCGTCGTCTTGCTGTGCACATATAAAGGTGAATCGATCACTACGATATCATTGTAACAGGGAAAGTTAAGCACGCATTCAATCGAGCCGTAGAAACCTCGACTTTCGACCTCGCGCAAATCACGGTGCACTTTGCGATAGGAATTTCTCGATAAATGAATGTATTTTCTCTTAGTAATTTTTCTATCTTATCCAAATCGTATACTATTCAAAATTAATAATACACGCATATATCCGAGATATTAAAAAATACAATACACAGGAATTAATTTCTGAAAAACAAAAAATGTAATAAAAATTATTTAAAGAATTGATTCGTGTTATTTGTTGCAAATTAAATTTACTAAATTAATGGGATAAATACTGTATTCGTGACAATATAGGATGGAAAAGACAACCAGTTGACAATCCGGGACACCGGATGTTGCGCTAACTTCCGAGCTCTTTAAATTACTTACGGGATTTAAGTAGTTAATTGATATGTGAATTTTCGGTCTACGACCTGACTGAAGGGTCAATCAGGGGCTCCGATTTCGGAGCCCCTCCAAAGAGCTTCCTGTGAATCTTCGTAGGAAATTTCTCGAGAGAATAGCGAATCCAATGGAGACGTTTTCGACTGTGATCTGTGTCTGTTGTACAGGAAATGTTGAATAGATAACAGCCGCCAACCTACGTGAACACATCCGAGTATTATCTCGCGTGTCACCGAATTAAAACCGCAGTGAAACGTTGTATATTTAGCCTCGTCTGCGATAGGCAAGCTCCGGCTGATGAATATATCGAGTTACTGATTAAGAGAACAATTATTTTTGTTCTTCTCTCGATTCTTATAAGGAGAACGGGAAGAGGACACGTTCGTATCGCGGATCACCGATAAACTGTGACGGAAAAAGTTGATAGCTGTGTTTTTGTTTTGTCTAATTGAAGAATGCTATCTTTTACTGCATACGAAGTAACAATTATTAAATTTAGTCGATATAAAAATTACAAGAACATTAACGAGAATTTGAGTGCACTTTAATAAGTAATAATTATTCTTTAATACGTAATAATTATATCTTTACGTAATGTTTTACTTCGCACATAAGTGCAACATCACTTTGATACTTAGACACATTGCGACCCCCCCCCCCCCCCCCCCCTCCTGCATGCGTGCTGCGATACGTCATCCGGAAGGATCGATGATTGTTGTTCGTTTATGTCGCGCGTTTGTCCAAGAAGTCGTCCTTGTCTTTTCGCCGCGAAACCGGTTGCGTTTGTAACCTCGGGTCTCGATAAATCGTAGAAATACGGCGACAGTATTTTCTCTGAAATATCTGCGTTTCTCGTTTCGATATACACAGGCTCCAGATTAATATCTAATGCTCGATCTTCGAGCAATGAATCAGGATCCCGTTAAACTCTCTGAAAATCTCATTTAATCTTTTATTTAAGTTTTTTTTTTATACATGATATACTTTAAAGATTAATAAATTATTATGCTAAAATATCCGTAACTCCAATTTCTTATTTTTTTCATAAATTTTATTTTTATTAATTTAGTTCTTATTTTTTTTTCTAGTTGTTTGTCTTCAAATTTTCTCTGAACTCTCGACAAAGAACGAATAACCTTCTTCGACATCTATTCAGCGATATACTGTCGATTATCTGTCTCGCTGGTTATAACGCATCTTAAAGATTTATTGACAGAAAACACGAAGAGAGAGGAAGGACGTAATTTTCCGATGAAGGAGCGCCGAGAAAGGAGAAAATCGCAGAGACGTGGAGAATCGCATGCTCCGTCATTACGAAACCGCGAACGTCGAGAGATTCGTGACGTGCATTTCTTCGAGAGAAGAAACGCAGGCAACGCGAAGAGGGCAGACGACCTGAGGGTCCCTGCAGGCCTCCTGCCGTGTCCTCCCCTTCCCTTCTCCGCCACGGTTCCCGGTATCTACGCCCTTTGTGTCTCGGAGTAGGTAGGTATTTCGGAGTCAACCTGGTAGCAGGTTTGACAACGCGGCCAGAGAACAGGGTGGGTATCTTAGTGCTCAGGTACCTTCGCAGCTATTGCGAGGGCAAGGACGGACACGAAAGGAGACACCCATATTTTAAAAATCATCCTTCGATGAAAAATGATGATTTTTTAGAAGGGAGACGTAAACTACACACGGAAATTATAGTTAATATTCGATTATTACACAAATTATATTTTTGGTATCGATTATTTGATTTGCAATATGTGTGTAATTTTGTTGTAATATACCTAAATGATATTTTTCATAGCTTCCGTAACAAAGTTTGTTATCATAAAAGATGGGCGTAATCGGACGATTAAGTGGTGATGATAGCGCACAGCGGGATGTTGTCAGATTAACTAGGAAATCTCGCGTCACGTGAGAGGGTTCTCTTATTTGCAAACGAGAATCTGCAAAGAGAATCTAATGTAGACATTCGGTGGGTGAGAGAAATTGTACGCTGGGTCATAGACCACAAAGCTTATTAATGGAAAATATCGCGTGCTCAACACGCAGTTGCACAAATTAACAAGCGGAAATTGAATCTAAAATCTTTCAAGCTCGATCGAGTTTGCTAGTGTATAATTAAAGTAATGATTAAACTTTCATTTATCCATACTACTTTTATTATCTGTTATATATATATATATCATATTACTCTTTAAATTGTGCACCGTATTTACAAAAAACACTTTTCTTAAAGATATTCTCTTTCCATGACTCACCGAATGAATCGTTGAAAGAGATTGATAATGATCGTTATGTCAGCGATCTCGTTGTAGAATAAGTTTGTTTACAATCACACGAGTCTATTGATTCTAAAATGTTTGCCGTTAACGACGCGCATTTTGTCCCGACGATGATAAACCTCGTGACATGAAAAAAAATTATTTATCTCCATCTGATTACACATGCGTGTATATTCCAGGCTGACTCGTAAAAATAAACAGCTAGACAGAGTACGCTTATTAAGTTGATAACACTATATATAGCCTGAGTATTTAACAGTCGCAGGTATATACGTTTAAGCGAATGCGACTGTCTCTTTCGCTTCATCAAAGAATATTCAAATTTAATTTTAATTAAGAGAAGCCAAGAGAGAAAGTTTTACTTAAACATTTTATAGTGTATATAAAATATACATAGAAAAATTTATGTATATATATATATATNNCTCTTTTATATATGTTTATAAAATAATACAGTATTTATTTTGCATTATTAATATTGTGATATAAAATATATATATATATATATATAATGATAAAAATATATTATCTTCTAAGAAAATATCTTTTATCTCAAAAACTTCATTAATTTCACAAATTCTATTGTAAAATAATAAAATTAAACCTTGAGATGTTAAACGCGTTAGTATTGCTATAGCCGGCTTCGGCTTATCATCGTTGATATGTTTCGATTGCAATGGCGCGTAACTAATAAATAAAAAAGAACTCTCACCTGTTGAAAGTCTGCTCGTATTGCTTGATCTCGCGGCGCGACAACTCATGGAACTCGGTGTAAACGTTTACAAACTTGTATTGCTTCTTCACCTCTTTACCCTCCTCGAGTTCGTCGTTGATCCTTTGCCGTCTGTTGAGCAGGTTGCTGAGTTCGGCGTCCGCTGGCATGGTTCTCGATTTTTGATCGCCGATTTGAATCTTGAGAACAAGTTGCTGAGAATTCGCGTTAAATTTTTTCAAGTAGCTTATCGAAAACTTGGAACGCGGTTATCGCGAGTTAACGAGAAGGAGTAAGAAATGTAAAGTGCGCTGGACGGGATATGAAGATGTATACCTCCGGAAAAATATGGTTCGCACGCCGCGGCGAGCCCGCATGTACTGACGCGGCGCTGAGCGTAGGAGCGACTAGTAGTCGCGCGAACAGACAGTGCCGTAGCCATCTTGTCGGGATCTCCGCGGCAAATATCTTTCCTTTAATTTATTTCAATTTTCGCTTGAAAAATTGAAATAAATTACATTATTATGTTTTACATTATGCTTCTGAAAACATCTCCGATAGATTTATGCGTATCGTTTCGAAAGTGGATTATTTCTACTTATAATTGTCACACTATTCGACACGAGTTTGTGATTTTTATCTTACTGTTAAATATATGCAATAAATTTCTTTGATTTAACATGGGGAAAAATCTGTATATAAATCATATATAAATATATAGAATTATATATAAAATTTGTTTATATATGTTTTCATTTTCTTCTATACAATCTCTATCTCTATAAAAGAAATATAACAAGAAAAATAAATGGACTTTCTTTCCCGGGGCATTACATGTATAAATTTGCAATAATAAAGCAGATAATTATTATATAAAAATTATACCCTTTTTCTTTAAAGATTTTTTGGGAAAAATATTTATATATAATATAAAATGCAACTATATATTTTATGTTATTATTTTTCTACGTTTTTCTGACTGTGAAGGTTGCTATTTGTTTATGGCATGAGCTAGAAATAATGTATTGAGAAATTAAAATATGGGACAACTAATAAAATAATAAAGTAGTAACGTAATAAAGTAGCAAAACAAAATTTTTTTGCATGTTTCACGCTCTTGTATAACGACGTCATTCGGTTGTTACAACATCTGACGCCAATGAGGGTTCAAAATCGATATAAACGGACGTCTGGTATTCGTATCTCCTCTCGTACTTCTCTTTCGTTGTCAAAAGCACGCCAACCGTGAAAATATATCATTTGCAGCTATATTATCACTATGCATGCAGTTATATAGATCATGAATACAATACCGGAAAATGACAGAGCGAGGACAACGAGAATGATACTGTTTTACGTAAACTTGTTGAGTTTCCTGAAAAAAATGCATTATAAATCAATATTATGTATTAAATATCAATATTAATAAAAATTTTTTGATGGGTGTATATAAAGCTATATATTTGTTATATATATAAATTAAATATATATTTTTTTGCGTTTGAGAAAGGAAGTTAAAATAAAAAAATTACGAAGGTTTATAATTTTTATCGTCTTTCTTGTGATATAGCTAGTCTAAATATTTTACCAACAGTCGGAAATTATGAATTTTTTCGTATAATTATCTTCAAACTGACATGTGAATCAAAGTGAAGGCTGAGAGCGGCTGTTCAGGCGTTTTTCGTAGGATATCTACTAAACCTTACTTAGTATCGCCACCTGCATAGCTTTAGAAGCTACGTAGAATTATGTGTAGTCACAATCATTTTGTCGGTAAAAGTTTGTTTAATGTATAATCGTATTATATTCATAAATTAGAGACATGTCTCATATATAAATTTAATTATATATTTTATTAGCTGCGAGTGATCTTTTTTTATTTCAGCAATTACTATATGAATATCAATATATGTTATTATTTTAAAATATTTTTATGTACATATCTGTGTGCATTATAAGTGTAATTCTCGATAGAGAAAAGAAAAAAAGAAAAGACAATAGCTTTAACAAAACTAATTATCCTTGATAAAACAATTTTAGAGAATAAAATAATTATTTTGATAAAATAATAAAAGGACTTATATATTTTGTATAGAAAACAATTTATTATAATTTTTATTAAGTATTGTACAATGAAATATAGTTTATTGTATATAATGTGTAAAAGATATATACGATAAAAAATTACATGAATTATTATTATTCTTGGAATAAAAGTATCAATCTTATTAATTTATTTATTTTAATTATCTACAATTTGGGAATTTGTTTTCTAAATTAATTTTTCTAAGATTAATGATATAGATATATCTATAAGAAAAGAAATAAAGGCTCAGTTAATCTGTCTAAAATTTTAATAATATATGTAATATATCCTTTTGTAAAACATTATTAATATAGTAATATAAAAAAATATCTACTTATTTTTTTGTTTGCGAACGTTTTGCAATTTTATTTAATCTATTCGTCGCACAATGAAATACTTTTGTTAAAATCTGTGGCCAATATAATCAAAATATAAGATTAATACATTCAACGTCAATTTTACATGATTTTCCAATAAGCCGCATGTTTATTATAATTTAATAATACATGTATTATATAACAATGAAACGTGTTTATTTAAATCCTTATTAAATAAATTTTTTCTTGTTCCAATAAATCTTTCATAAATGGGAATAAACTTGTGGATTAGAAATAAATTTGTGCATGGATTCTACAAATAACAAATAAAATAAATAAGAAATTATTTCTCTTATTGTTGATAATGCTTTCTAAATTTATTTCTTCTCTCTTGTTTCTTCGTTTACCTACTAAAGAGTTTTTTTTCTTAAAATTCCATCTCTTTTTTAATTGTTTCAACTGTGTTTTATATATATCAAAAAATAAATTATATTTTCTCTGTAATATTATTTGCATAGTACAATATATAAAAAGGATTACTATACTCACTCGAATCTCATTTTTGATCGCAAAAAAAATTTTGGTTTTGCGTCATACATAACACTTGTAGAACACACGTGTGTGTGTAGAACACATTTTCTTTTGTATATTTAAGAACTAAAATATCTTACAAAGGCAATGGACAGTTTGTAATTGTAAGATGAGAAGAAATATACGCGATATAATTTTGCTATCTCTTTGTTCTAATTTTTTTTCTTCTATCCAATTTTTTCGAAACTATTATAAATAATTATGTTGTAATTAGTGGCAGCAATTTTATAGATGAATAATTTGTTTACTTGCAAATGTATAATAGTAGAGATAAGAGTTAGGTTATACATTATAAAAGATATTGTAATGTTTGCGCGTACGGAATAATAATATATCATTAATAGTATACCTATGTCTTGCTATATCATTATAGAAATTCTTACTGCGAGAGACGATGAACAGTAAATATACACGAGGGTAGAAAGTTCGTTATATTAGAAAATTATCGTCAGTAATACAAATCGTCTCTTATTGATCGCTTCTTTACTGCAAGAAACTACAATACTTCTGACTTTTAATATTCTGAAAACTTTTCTATTTCGAAACAAAAGAATTAATCTACGATAACAATAACGACCATATACAATTTTTCTTTTGATAAAGAAGTTATTATTAAGAAACACACTCGCGATACATGCAACGATAATCGAGGTATAGGGAACTGTCGCAGACTAAAATAATGCATATACTTCCGGTGTCATTTGCTCTATTCACTTACACCGGTTACTGGCGACCGGTGCATTTTCTTGTCAACTCGTTTAAATATTGGATGTACAATCTTTATTCTGCTTTTATGTTTGTTTTACTGCAATTGTTCGTGTTCTACGGTATAATTGACACTGTCTTCTCGGCCAATCTGGAGGAATTCGTAAACAAATGCTACCTGTTCCTTTCGATTTTCGGCGTTTCCTGCAAAATCGTGCATCTCTTTATACGTCGCGAAAAGATCATCGATCTAGACAAGATGCTCTTGAAGGACAATTGTATTGCCAGAGATGTACAAGAGATATTGATCCGAGAAAAATTTGATCGACACGTGAGGTATATAATTATTAAATAGAGAATAGATTATGACAAAATAATTTTATTAATTGTGAATAATTTTTACTTGTGTGTGTGTCTTATCGGACAAAACTGGAACGGGTTTTTTCTTTTCCGATTTTTTGTCACTCCTGCTTTTATTTGCAAATTAATTTTTTAAAAGTACCTCATACATCATTTACCCTGACTAGAAAATATCTTTTTTCGACTCTTTTTCTTCTTTTTTTTATTTATCTTATAATAGTTATCATCTTGTTACAATAAGACGATATTGCATAAAACAAAAAATTTAAATTTAAAACAAAATATATCTTGGATAATTTTTTTAAGCAATTAATATAAAAATGTGCTCTTTCAATATTTTAAAATTTGATTTGCATATAAATATTTATAAATTTATTTTTTAAATTTATTTTAATAGATAATTTATAAATTTGTAGACAGGTTACGATTGCTTGCGAGATTCTCAATGAGTCCTGTGCAATGTTCACGACCTTCGCACAATTTTACGTATCTCTGAAGACGCGTAGCTTACCTGTGTACAAATGGGCGCCCTTCGATCTATCATCAATATATGTCTTCTTGCCTATATTGATATTCCAATGCGTGGCTTTGGTGTTATGCGTAAATACCAGTGTCGCACATGAGACGCTAATTTCCGGTATGATGATCCAGGCCTGCGCTCAATTCGAAATTCTGTGCCATCGCGCTCATATATTGCCGGCGTTGATGATCGAAGCCGAAAAAAATAGTGAATCAGACGAGGATCTGATAGCACGCGAGAAGGCAATCATTCGCGATCTGATATATCATCATCTTTACATTTATAAGTGAGTATTTATGGCGATTAAAAAGATAGAATAAGGATTTTAATCCTTTGTAATTATAGATTTTATAGTTTTTCAATGATAAAAATATACACAAAGTTATCTTTTTTTATAATTTGTTAATTATTTTTTTACGCGATTAATAACTATCAAGTTTATCGATTGAATACTATCATGCTACTTAATTTATCCATTTGTGTGTTAATTAGTTTACTTAACTTTATATAGGAAATCAATAATTAAATAATTTATAGAAATAATAACAGAAATTCCATATAAAACTGCAGATTTGCGCACACGATCAATGCAGTTTTTACAGTGATGATGTTCATCCAATTTTCCATCATTTCCCTAGTTCTCTGTATGAGCGTCTACAGACTATCTACAATGACGTCATTATTTACCCTCGAATTTGCACACATATTTTCTTATCTGTGCTCCATGCTCATGCAAATATTTCTTTATTGCTGGTATGGCAATGAGGTGACATTAAAGGTAGAAAATTATTGGAATTTTTAGATTGTTAATATATTGATGCAATAACTGCATCTATATTTTTCTATTTTTTTAAACGCATTGGAAGACATAATGCCATCAGTCCTAAATTAGAATATATAGTATATCAAATTAAAGTAATTATAAAATCTACTAACAATTATTCATCGGTGATAATGTAAATTTTAATATTTTCTTTTAATTATCAATTCTAAACACAAATTCATTTTTTTTAGAGAAACAATTGAAGTGTCTAGCAGTATTTCTTAATTTTCCAAACTCACTTGTTTTATATAAATATGTAAAAAAACATTAAACATTAAACATTAAATAACAAATATTAGCAAGTAAAAAAGAGGAGGAAATGGGGAAGATGATTTCTTGGAAATAACATTGAGTCAAAATTATTAATTGGCATATATATTATATTAGGTAATTAATAATAATTGTTTTAATTAATTTCTTATAGAGTATCGATGTCGGTACTGCTATTTATGAGATGGATTGGACGACATTAAGAGTCCGAGTAATGAAAGATCTTATGATAATAATGATACGTGCCGGCAAACCTGTTAAAATGTCGAGTGGCTATCTAGTCACTTTAAGCACCGAATCCTTTATGAACGTTAGTATTTGAAATTAGATAAAATTAGTGTTAAAATTCTAATAGTGGTGATATAATAGGCGAATTATCTCTTCTATGCAGATTCTCAAAGTGTCCTACTCATCGTATAATTTCTTAAAAGGCTCTTAGATGGAAAAAATACTAGGCTGAATACACAGATTTTCGCATATCGTGATTTTTTCACTTATATATGTCGTCATATTTAGATAATACTCGTGTGTCTAACAAGATAAAGATAAATAATTAGTTGTATTGTCATTTAATTTTAATCATACCATTTAAAAAAAAAATTTGAAACAACTTTCTCTTGCTTAAGTTTTAATTCAATTTAATTAATTATATTTAAAATTATTTTTATTTAAATATATAAATGATAATTATATAAATTATATTATAAGTTATATATTTCACACTATTTCTCTTATATTTTGTTATATAATCACTTGTATCTTGTATAATATTGCCAAAAAATGTGATCCTGAAAGAATTTGGCAACATCCTGTATAAAAGTGCGAGGTACCACATGAGAAATAAGTGAGACACATTAATACCTAGAGGAATGCATTTTTTGGTTTTAGTTGCAGTATGTGCTTGGACTAGTGCGTAGAGAGACAGAATGAAATACCAACCATCCGTTATTTGGAATCTTATAATTGCATTAACGGATATTCCATAGCAATCTCGATGTCGTAGCACATTAATTCGTAAATGCGTAAACAATTCTGTGGAATATCGTTGCGAGAAATATCATGCGTTATGACATTTCTAAATCTCAATTGCTGCATTTTGTGCAAATAATGCAAATCCTTGTATGTAGATGTAGTAAATATATTTGAAATAGCATTCAAGCAAATTTCTTCAAATTTTTTTTGTCATTTATTTCACTTTATGATTGCATGGATTAAAAATAAATTTATGCATGGATTCTATAAATAACAAATAAAATAAATACAAAATAAAAAATTATTTATTTTATTGTTGGCAATGCTTTCTAGGTTTATTTTTTCTTTTTTCTTTTTTGTTACTAAACTATAATTTATATAATATATTAAAAAATAAATTATTTTTTTCTAATATTATTTGCGCAGAACAATTGAAATGGTTTTATTTGGTTCTTAATTGTGATATTGAATTATATTTTGCACATATATTTTTATACAATGTATAAAAAGAATTACTATACTCACTCGAATTTCATTTCCGACCGCAAAAAAATTTTGGTTTTGCGTCATACATAACATTTGTAGAACACCTTGTGTATGTAGAACAAATTTTCTTTTATATATATTTAAGAACTAAAATATATTACAAAGCCAATGGACAGTTTGTAATTGTAAGATGAAAAGAAATATACGCGATATAATTTTGCCATCTCTTTGTTCTAAGTTTTTTTTCTCTACTATTCAATTTTTTCGAAACTGTTATAAATAATTATGTTGTAATTAGTGGGAGTAATTTTATAGATGAATAATTTGTTTACCTGCAAATGTATAATAGTAGAGATAATTATTATACATTATACAAGATATTGTAATGTTTGCGCGTACGGAATAATAATATATCATTAATAGTATACCTATGTCTTGCTATATCATTATAGAAATTCTTACTGCGAGAGACGATGAACAGTAAATATACACGAGGGTAGAAAGTTTGTTATATTAGAAAATTATCGTCAGTAATACAAATCGTCTCTTATTGATCGCTTCTTTACTGCAAGAAACTACAATACTTCTGACTTTTAATATTCTGAAAACTTTTCTATTTCGAAACAAAAGAATTAATCTACGATAACAATAACGACCATATACAATTTTTCTTTTGATAAAGAAGTTATTATTAAGAAACACACTCGCGATACATGCAACGATAATCGAGGTATAGGGAACTGTCGCAGACTAAAATAATGCATATACTTCCGGTGTCATTTGCTCTATTCACTTACACCGGTTACTGGCGACCGGTGAATTTTCCTGTCAACTCGTTCAAATATTGGATGTACAATCTTTACTCTGTTTTTATGTTTGTTTTACTGCAATTGTTCGTGTTCTACGGTATAATTGACACTGTCTTCTCGGCCAATCTGGAGGAATTCGTAAACAAATGCTACCTGTTCCTTTCGATTTTCGGCGTTTCCTGCAAAATCGTGCATCTCTTTATACGTCGCGAAAAGATCATCGATCTAGACAAGATGCTCTTGAAGGACAATTGTATTGCCAGAGATGTACAAGAGATATTGATCCGAGAAAAATTTGATCGACACGTGAGGTATATAATAAATGATAATTATATAAATTATATTATAAGTTATATATTTCACACTATTTCTCTTATATTTTGTTATATAATCACTTGTATCTTGTATAATATTGCCAAAAAATGTGATCCTGAAAGAATTTGGCAACATCCTGTATAAAAGTGCGAGGTACCACATGAGAAATAAGTGAGACACATTAATACCTAGAGGAATGCATTTTTTGGTTTTAGTTGCAGTATGTGCTTGGACTAGTGCGTAGAGAGACAGAATGAAATACCAACCATCCGTTATTTGGAATCTTATAATTGCATTAACGGATATTCCATAGCAATCTCGATGTCGTAGCACATTAATTCGTAAATGCGTAAACAATTCTGTGGAATATCGTTGCGAGAAATATCATGCGTTATGACATTTCTAAATCTCAATTGCTGCATTTTGTGCAAATAATGCAAATCCTTGTATGTAGATGTAGTAAATATATTTGAAATAGCATTCAAGCAAATTTCTTCAAATTTTTTTTGTCATTTATTTCACTTTATGATTGCATGGATTAAAAATAAATTTATGCATGGATTCTATAAATAACAAATAAAATAAATACAAAATAAAAAATTATTTATTTTATTGTTGGCAATGCTTTCTAGGTTTATTTTTTCTTTTTTCTTTTTTGTTACTAAACTATAATTTATATAATATATTAAAAAATAAATTATTTTTTTCTAATATTATTTGCGCAGAACAATTGAAATGGTTTTATTTGGTTCTTAATTGTGATATTGAATTATATTTTGCACATATATTTTTATACAATGTATAAAAAGAATTACTATACTCACTCGAATTTCATTTCCGACCGCAAAAAAATTTTGGTTTTGCGTCATACATAACATTTGTAGAACACCTTGTGTATGTAGAACAAATTTTCTTTTATATATATTTAAGAACTAAAATATATTACAAAGCCAATGGACAGTTTGTAATTGTAAGATGAAAAGAAATATACGCGATATAATTTTGCCATCTCTTTGTTCTAAGTTTTTTTTCTCTACTATTCAATTTTTTCGAAACTGTTATAAATAATTATGTTGTAATTAGTGGGAGTAATTTTATAGATGAATAATTTGTTTACCTGCAAATGTATAATAGTAGAGATAATTATTATACATTATACAAGATATTGTAATGTTTGCGCGTACGGGATAATAATATATCATTAATAGTACCTATGTCTCGCTGTGTCATTATAGAAATTCTTACTGCGAGAGACGATGAACAGTAAATATACACGAGGGTAGAAAGTTTGTTATATTAGAAAATTATCGTCAGTAATACAAATCGTCTCTTATCGATCGCTTCTTTACTGCGAGAAACTACAATACTTCTGACTTTTAATATTCTGAAAACTTTTCTATTTCGAAACAAAAGAATTAATCTACGATAACAATAACGACCATATACAATTTCTTTTGATAAAGAAGTTATTATTAAGAAACACACTCGCGATACATGCAACGATAATCGAGGTATAGGGAACTGTCGCAGACTAAAATAATGCATATACTTCCGGTGTCATTTGCTCTATTCACTTACACCGGTTACTGGCGACCGGTGAATTTTCCTGTCAACTCGTTCAAATATTGGATGTACAATCTTTACTCTGTTTTTATGTTTGTTTTACTGCAATTGTTCGTGTTCTACGGTATAGTTGACACTTTTTTCTTATCGGCGAGCCTAGAGGAATTCGTAGACAAATGCTACCTGTTCCTTTCGATCTTTGGCGTTTCCTGCAAAATCGTGCATCTCTTTATACGTCGCGGAAAGATCATCGATTTGGACAAGATGCTGTTGAAGGACAATTGTATTTCCAGAGATGTAGAAGAAATATTGATACGAAAAAAATTTGATCGACACGTGAAGTATATAATTATTATATAAATAGATTATGACAAAATAATTTTATTAATTGTGAATAATTTTTACTTGTGTGTGTGTCTTATCGAACAAAACTGGAACGGGTTTTTTCTTTTCCGATTTTTTTACTCCTGCTTTTATTCGCAAACTAATTTTTTAAAAGTACCTCATACATCATTTACTCTCACTGGAAGATAGTTTTTTCGATTCTTTTTCCTCTTCTTTTATTTATCTTATAATAGTTATCTCCCTTGTTACAATAAGGCGATATTGCATAAAACAGAAAGTATAAATGTAAAACAAAATATATCTTGGATAATCTTTTTAAGCAATTTATGTAATAATTGGCTTTTTCAATAACTTAAGAAAATTTGACCTGTATCTAAATATTTATAAATTTATTTCTTAGATTTATTTTAATAGATAATTTATAAATTTATAGACGGCTTACAATCGCTTGCGAGATTCTCAATGTGTCCTGTGCAATATTCGCGACTTTCGCGCAATTTTACATACTTTTGAAGACGCGTAGCTTGCCTGTGTACAATTGGGCGCCCTTCGATCTATCATCAATATATGTCTTCTTGCCTATATTGATATTCCAATGTGTGGCTTTGGTGTTATGTGCAAGTTCCAGTGTTGCACATGAGACGCTAATTTCCGGTATGATGATTCAGACCTGCGCTCAATTCGAAATTCTGTGCCATCGCGCTCATATATTGCCGGCATTGCTGACCGAAGCCGAAAAAAATAGTGAATCAGACGAGGATCTGATAGCACGCGAGAAGGCAATCATTCGGGACCTGATATATCATCATCTTTATATTTATAAGTGAGTATTTATGGCGATTTAAAAAATAGAATGAGGTTTTTAGTCCTTTGTAATTATAAATTTTATAGTTTTTTAATGATAAAAATATACATAAAGGCATCTATTTTTATAATTTGTTAATTATTTTTCTACGCGATTAATAGCTATCAAGTTTATCGATTGAATACTATCGTGCTACTTAATTTATCCATTTGTGTTAATTAGTTTACTTAACTTTCTATAGGGAATAAATAATTAAATAATTTATAGAAATAATAACAGAAACTCTATATAAACTGCAGATTTGCATACATGGTCAATGCAGCCTTTACAGTGATGATGTTCATCCAATTTTCCCTCATCTCTCTAGTCCTCTGCATGAGTGTCTACAGACTATCTACAATGACATCATTATTTACCCTCGACTTTGCATACATGTTTTCTTATCTGTGCTCCATGCTCATGCAAATATTTCTTTATTGCTGGTATGGCAACGAGGTGACATTAAAGGTAGAAAATTGTTGGGATTTTTAGATTGTTAATATACAATAACTGCATCTACTTTTATTTTTCTATTTTTTTAAACGCACTGGAAGACATAATGCTACCAGTCTTCAATTAGAATATATAGTGTATCAAAGTAGAGTAATTATAAAATGTACTAACAATTATTCATCGGTGATATCGCAAATTTTAATACTTTTTTTAAATTATGAATTCTAAATACAAACACTCAAAAAAATGTCTTGCTGATATAGGTAGATTTCTAGGTGTCACAGCAAAAATTTATCGCTATTTTTTGTATCTGTTAGAATATTGTCTGTTACATATAGAATTTATAGCAGCAATATTCTAATAATATCTTCTAGAAAATTTAGGTCCCATTGCCAAATGTTAATCACTGCATTGGATAAATATGAGTTTCGATACTACAGCTAAACGATCTTTGTGAGAAATATAATTGCCAATTATAACTGCAGCATCGAAAAATTGAGAAAAATTGTTTAAAAGAGCTAGATAGATTGAGCGCGTTATACAAATATGTTAGACGTGAGGATTATATATTCATTTGTTTCTTGCCGCTAATCTTTTCTGTATACCACAGCCAAACTTTATAACAAGTATGATTGGCCCTATCATGGATAGGCGCCACAGAAAAACATTCTTTCTAAATTTCACAAACAGTTCAGATATAAATTCTGTCTCTGTCACTTAGATTGATTAAATGCGAAACATATGCGATATCACAGTATTTGCTAATCATTTATGTACCTCAGTTAATTTTGCGCACCCAGAAAATTTTTGCTGTAGTTGCAATACCACTTTTTTGAGTGAAGTCACTTTCTATTTAGAGAAACAATTGAATTATCTAGCATTTCTTAGTTAACAAATATTTAGCAAGTAAAAAAGAGGAAAAAATGGGGAAGGTGATTTCTTGGAAATAACATTCAGTTAAAATTATTAATTGGCATATATATTATATTAGCAAATTAATAATAATTATTTTAATTATTTTCTCATAGAGTATCGACGTCGGCACTGCTATTTATGAGATGGATTGGACGAGATTAAGAATCCGAGTAATGAAAGATCTTATGATAATAATAATACGTGCCGGCAATCCTGTTAAAATGTCGAGTGGCTATGTAGTCACTTTAAACATTGAATCTTTTATGAATGTTAGTATTTGAAATTAGATAAAATTAATGTTAAAATTTTAGTAGTGGTAATATAATTGGCGAATTATCTTTTCTATGCAGATTCTCAAAATATCCTACTCGTCATATAATTTCTTAAAAGACTCTTAGATGGAAAAAAATACTATGCTGAATGCACAGACCTCCACACATTATGTTTTCGTTATTTACATATATCGTCTATATTTAGGTAACATTCTTGTATGTTCTAATAAGATAACGATAAATAATTAATTGTATAATCATTTAATTTTAATCATACCATTTTTTAGAAATTTTAAATCATTGTTCTTTCGCTTAAGTTTTAATTCAATTTAATTAATTAAATTTAAAATAATTTTTATTTAAATAAATGGTAATTATATAAATTATATTATAAGTTATATATTTCACACTATTTCTCTTATATTTTGTTATAATAACTTGTAGCTTGTATAATATTGCCAAAAAATATGGTCCTGAAAGAATTTGGCAACATCCTGTATAAGAGTACGAGGTACCACGTGAGAAATAAATGAGTCACATTAATACCTAGAGGAATGCATTTTTCGGTTTTAGTTGCAGTATGTGCTTGGATTAGTGCATAGAGAGAGAGAGGATGGAATACTAACCGTTTATTTGGATTCTTATAATTGCATCAACGGATATTCCATGGCAATCTCGATGTCGTAGCACATTTATTCGTAAATGCACAAAAAATCCTGTGGAATATCGTCGTGAGGAATATCACGCGTTATGACATTTCTAAATTTCAATTGCTGCATTTTATGCAAATAATGCAAATCTTGGAAAAATTTTTGTAAGAAGATTTAAAACAAATTCTAAATTTTTTTATATTTTACATTTAACGATAAATACTTTTATCTGATTATGATACATTTGTTTAATATCTTAGAATGGTCATATTTAGAGCAAAATATGAGATACAATATGAGTACCAATCTTTCAGATGTTGCTTAAATATGTTTTTTCTTTTTTTATATGGGTGTTGAAAAGATATCTTACAAATGATAGATGATAATCGAAAAAGTTGGATGTCAAGTGAATAATGGAATGGGAAAAAAAGTAAGAAACGACATTACTTCTGCGACAATTCGTAATAAAACCACAGAAAGAGATTGATATTTGTATGTAGACGTTGTAAATATACATGAAACAGCATTCAAGCAAATTTCTTCAAACTTTTTTCCGTCATTTATTTCACTTTATGATTGCAAGGATATATACACATGAAGCATCGTTGTAAATAACATCCTTTTTTTTCTCTAACTCTTTCTTTCTATCTTTCATTCTTCCCTTTTTCTATTGCTTTTTCTCACTTCCTTTCTTCCTCTCTATCTCTCTTATTTTGTTTTTGCTTGATGCTTCCGCATAAAATTTCAAGTGAACATACTTGGCATTTATGTCAACAAATTATCATCTGAATAATTACGCGGTGTTAGAATTCGCTGGATAATATTCTCATCGATACTGTATTTGTTTTATCTTGATATTTTCCCGCGAACACGTTTCCATTTCAATATGCTCATAACTTTTTTTATCAACTTTATAACTTTATCTATCCGTGTCGCTTACATAATGAAACAATATTTGCGGGAAGCGATGTTACTGAGCGATCGATGGCTGCTTCGATTTACAAGCGTTACGTGATCAACCCGATATCCCGTTATCCGCTGAACATTTTGCCGCATATATCGTTGTAGTATATCATCACAAACACAAATTGCTTACGATCAATTTTGTTATGGCACTTTGACAGAATGTTATTAATGAGTATTAACCGCATCAAGCATTATGTATTTGTTTAGTAACCGAGCGGCACTATCGATCGTTTAACTAATTACTAAGCATTATTGAGAGATGCTGATTCTTTTCAACTTGATTAAACTACATTTACATCAAACACATTAATTTGCTGTTATAATCTTTCGCGAACATTTTAATAGTCGTAATAAAAATAGCTGTAAAATAATTTTTTTCTTGTTTTTTTTCTTCAAGCTATTGAGCTTATGAGACTTTTTATCTCCACTAGAAACTGCTAAAAATGCTCGGCGGACAACGCTTTGTTCTTCTGTTTGGAGACTTACATAAAAAATAAACATGAACAAAACGTTTTTTATTAATTATGTCGTGCGAATAGAACGACGACCACTGACATAATTAGATAGCGCAAGCGTATCCGATATTGCCGTCATTATTTCAGCAACAATGTCGTCAGAAATAAAAAGAATTCGCTCACAAATTAATTAAAGCGATTTAACTATTCTTTGTTAATACTGACAATTTTTTCTTTCTGTGCTGTATACGTATGTATTTTTTATTAATATTTACATTTAATAAATGTATTATTTATAGTGTTAAAAGAAAGTTACTACATGTAACGATTGTTAAAATAAAATTACCATGAGTTCGAATAAAGAATAAATTAAAAAATATCTCTTATTTTTATTTGTTATGTAACTTTCTAAGAGTAAGAGAGAAAGCATTATCTTATATTCTCGTATATTTGAAAATTAATTTGATGAAATGAAGTCTTATCATTTCTGACGAAAAAAAGCTATTGTCGCCGTTTATCACAATCTGCCTAACATATTATTATGATTAGTCTAGAACTATGTTTATTTCTAAATAGCGAGTCCAATAGCTCGTAAGTAAATGTAGAAATAAAATAAATGCACGTGCACACTATTCGGCATTTGGAAATAGACATTACAAACGCAAAGAATTATTTCTCAATTCCTATTCATTTAATATGTGGACATAGATCTGAATCAGTCGTTGCTCTGTAAATTAAACATTATCCGCCATATTACGTAGTAATATCATAGTATAGATGTTATATACATTATTACTTACGCAAATTTAAAGGATTACATTCGCTATAAGACGCAGAATTGAATGGCAAGGCTAAAGTTAATTTTCGAATATTATTTAATTTTTTTCTTAGATAGAGATAATTTATGTAAAATCACTTTTTGTGATTGACTTTTTTGATTCTAGGATATTCATGATATGAGTTTATCGCGATATTTTACGGCATGTTCTTTATTGTTTATATTTATTATAATTATTAATCATCTTTCATTTACTCTACATTAAGCGTTCGCATTAATATGGATTGGTGAAAATACATTTGCTTGTAGTAATAATCCAACCTTTCTATTCAATTCTGTTACTTGTATTGCTATTTTATTTATTTTGTATTATAAAACTCTGTACGAGAAAAGTTGCGTAAGCGAACCTTCATAAGGCGGCGAGAATCTTTTACGCTTGAGAGATTTCCCAAGTACTTTTAATCTCAAATCAAATTAAAAAGCGTAAGATGTACCTAATTCACGATATTGCGCTTTCTTATATATTTAAACGTTTTATTTATACACAATCGCGACAGATCCTCGAGAGAATCCGTCATGGTCACATAATTACTCATGATGTATTTGCTTCATCGCGTTTTAGTTAATGTACATTTAGATTTGTCATTATTTATATATACTTTGGAGACGAGTCAAGATTGAAAATTTTTATACATAGCTATTTTAAAATGGTAATGCTCGGAAATATGGTCGCTAAACATTATCGCGTGCTTACACAATACTGTACAATTACGTATCAGAGCAAGCATTGTTCGCGATTTTTTCATATCATCAGAGCGTATTTTAAGGGATCTTCACTGGACGATAAAATATAAGATTTGTCTTACTCACTTTTCGATTCATGTATGTCTATTATTTATAAATTATACAAATGTGTGGCTAAATGCTATAGGTGCTAAGATAAAATTTTCGGTAATCACTTATAGTCATCAAACTCATTTTTCTTTATTTAAACAATATATTAAAATTTATGAATTAAGCACCTACATCATTTAGATACTCATATATAGCCATTTTCTTTTAAATTTTTACGTTATAATAGAAGAATCTATGATCATAGCTTAAACTTATGTTTTTTGAGCGATAAGAATTTTCACTAACACAAGCCATACACGTATCGGCCAGTTTATGCGTTAAAATGTGTTTTGATTTTTATTTTGATGAATTAAATTTGTGAATTTGAATATCTATTTCAACGCTGGCTACTTTTACGATTGAATAAATCACGAATAATGTTGCACCATTGTCGTTGATCCTTCCAAGTAAGCGTTTTCGCAAAAATACTCTACGCAGGATCGTTTCCACCGTTGTCGATTAACTATAATTAATGCTAGCCGCGAGTGAAATTTTAATTTTAATTTTAACTAATATTTACGGCAACGAGACATATTCGTTAAAAGTGACTATGAAATTAACGACGCGCAGCTTGATTACCTGGAACAGCTGTGGGAAAAAGCAGTGTTGTGTGGAATATCGTCTGTCGTGTCTAGATGCCGATAGAATCGATACAAACATTAACACGATTTAAATGATATATCCTAAAATTTTGAAAAAGATATACATTATTAACAAAAAATGTAAAGAATAAAAGTAACAAAAATTAACAAGATAAACAATTATATTAGAAAATAAGATATTTGTCGATTTTCTTCGAAGAGAGATCATCTAAGAAGATAGAAAAATATTAATAAAATATTATAATTATTAATTTTTTAATATTATCGTTTAGATGTAATCGAATGCATTCATTTAATATAATAATATTTAGATTCAGAGATACCACACAACACCGAGAAAAACGCCGGTAGCGAGCGTATATATATACGTATATGTACAAGTTTCACGCATATCTCCCTCATTGGATCGCGCTCACGTGGCAAAGGAATTAAATCCACTGTCAGCGAAGTCCCCGCGTACCACCGCACAGCATCCTTTTGAATGCCTGCCGAAATTCCGGCGAGAACACAGTGTAAATCACGGGGTTGAGGGTGCTGTTGAAGTATCCGAGCCACAGGAACACACTGGCCACGAGCTTGGGCGGCTCGCAGGTCTGGCATGTAGCCTGCAACAAGGCGACCAAGAAGAACGGCAACCAGCAGGCAACGAAGGCACCGGTGATGATCGCCAGGGTTTTGGCCGCTTTACGCTCGCGCTTCGACTCGATCGTCTCGCGTGTGCGCTTCATGCACTTGACCACCTGCTGCTGCTGGCTCGTGCTGGTCGGATTCGTCAACGTCGTCGTGGTGGTCGTCGTCGAGACCGCTGTCGGTGTCACCGTCGTCGACGGCGTGACGTTCGCGCCGTTATACGACGACGACTTCTCCGGCGAGATTGACGAGTGATCCGGCGTGGATCTCGTGATGGTGAACGCCGTCGATTCCTCGCGGGGCCTACGGCCAGATAAATCAGGGTTACTCCAGTCAAGAGAGAAAAAGAGGTGCTCATCTCTCTCGTCGCTGGCTCGTTATCGCGGGAATAATGGTGGTGGAGGCTGAGACTCGACGGGGTCAGTGATATTAGAAATCTTTATGAAAGACCGCCTAAAGTAGAAGTGATAGAAGCGATGTTAAATGAAGGCTATATATATATATATGAAGCCGTATATTAATTTCTTGATATATAATAGGGGTATGATATATTTAATAATTAAGAAAGATATATTAAGTTACAGTTGAGAAATATGAGAGAATTATGAGAAAAAAATATATGATATGTGAAACCAGTCCGCGAGCATATTGTCGAGATGTTTTGAAGCAAGATAAATAAATAGGCAAATTATTTTCTGTTACTTATGAAGCAGAAAATAAAAGAGCAAAGAAATAGCAGCAAAGTATGACACACTTATATGAAAATAAATAATTATAACAGTTATTTCAAAGAAAATATTAAAAGCGTATACACATAGTTATATAATATTAATTATAATTTAATTCGCAAGAATTTTTATAATGAATTCATGCTTATAATATCAAGCACAATCTATTTTATAGGCGATAGAGCTTAAAAATACGCAATTATTAAGCAGCGATAATATCCTTTTTGCGACAGATCAACAGGTAAACTCATACCTTTGTTCGTAGCAAAGATCTGCACTTCACTGGCCATTGAGATAAAAACGCTTAAAATATGCTAAGCCGCTTGAGATAAAATACTGCGCGTTAAGAATATTTATTTATAGATTAAATTATGATCTCCCTGTAAAAAAATGTGTCCTTGCCAAGATATAGGGAAGCAGACTAAATCTCATGAAGGATTTACGCCATTTCTCAACATCTCATTTGCAAGATTTATTCTACGTGGCTTTAACGCGTTGTTACCCCTCGAGCCCTTCAAGTTTATTGCAACTATGAAAAATGCAACTGTGTACAAAATTGCAATCATGAAACATGTTCCATTATTGTTTAAGATCTAAATAATTCTGGATCTTGTGATAAAGAACCAGAGAAGGGAGGCAAAAAACCTACAAACTACCTTCTCGTAACGAGCCTAAGGATGCCTCTTCTTTCACGCGGCGGCTGAAGTATAGTGCCGGGCCTCTTCCTGATCCTTTTTCGCGCCGCTTGAAATATCCTCCAATACAGGAATAAGATGACTAAGAGCGGAAGATAGAACGTCGCGCAAGTTGCAAAGATCTGTGAGGTAATTTATATATATTTTCTTTTCAGGATAATATGTGCAATGCGTTATATAAAGAAAATACATTTTGTATTTTCAAAATTATAGTTTAGATATGAGCAACATTGATCATGAATATTTATCAAAAGCAGATATAAATTTATATCTTCGTGTGAAGACATTTTTACATTTGTATAAGAATTTTTGAGAAAGACAAAAAAAAATCATGTTATGATCAACCACAATTGGCGTAACGTTTCTCGAAGTGTCGACACTTTCTCAAGCAATTCCATCGAATGCAATTCGCAGTCGCGAATATAATCAAGCTTCGGAGCAAGTTTCGGATCCGTTCGCAATTCTCCGGAAGCGTTCACCTGATATGCAGTATCCTGCGACACGAGACACGTCCCTTGGGCTATGCGGTCCAAATAATCAGGATCCTTCCATCCGAGCTGAGGCGCTAATGAGATTCCTAAGGATATCACCCACACAGCGATGATCAGGATGCCGATTCTTCTCGGATTCCTCGCCTTAAAATAGAAGAGCCATCTTTAACGACTTACTGTTATTTCATCGTTTCAGAATAATTTTTTTTCTTTCGGTTTCTATCGATTTTTACATTATTAGACATCGTTTAAATATTCGAAATACATTTTCCATTTATTCTTTACGCGTAGTCGGTGCGCATAATATATACATTTCGTATCGTTAAAAATATTTTTATTGTTAAATCTCTCAAAAAATTAAAAAATTTAAATAAGTCATGTGAAAACCTGATTGTCATTTAATAATCAAGATATCTTACTAGTCCGACCAATTTTGTACCTTCCACAAGACTTTGTACATTACTAAGAACACTATCTTGTATCAGAAAATTAAACTTTTAATTAGATCTACTCGTAGAGCTTTTTTCTTAAAAAGAGAGAGAGAGAGAGAGAGAGGGAGAGAGAAAAAGAGAGGGAGAGATAGAGAGAGAGATAAAGAGAGAGAAGCAAGCATATTAGTTCCCTCGTTCGAGAAAATTACGGTGTCTGCTCTATCAGCGTATCTGCTTGGTCGACACATGACTCAAGCTAATTCCTCGCCCGTTCCATTATTTATAACGTAATCGATCCGCCACCTAAGGGACCCATATACAGCCTGTTTCTATCAGTTGGGAAATGCAAGTTAGCCTTTAAGTTCAACCGGGCTGTCCGTTGCGTAGCTTATCAAACTCCAAGTTAATTTTGAACTAACTTTAAGCTCTCCGGAGAAGAGAAAGAGAGCATACCGAGAATATTACATATTCGTCTCATCCCCGTTAAACTATATTTATGAACGGGAAGTTCTGACCGTTTTATTTTACGATCTTACCCTTTTTCATACTTCATAAGCAATGTTCCCTATAATTCTCGTTACATCCATGAGCGTGCGTAAAAGAGAGAGCGGACTTTGCCTTCGCGCAATTTCAACGAAAATTTATGAATGATTTTATTGAACTTTATTCACATAGTAAATGTATAGAATAGTAAATGTATCCGAATATACCAAATATTTTTTAAAATTTAATCTTCGATATAAAATAAACGACATTTATTCGCATTTTAAACTAAAAGAATATTAAAATACAATATAAATAAATATAATAAAATTGCAGGAAATTAAATCTTTGTGTATATATGTGCTATTAGATATAAAATAGATATAAATTTTTAAACAAACGCGAAAGGATTAACAAACGTAAAGAAATGTTCTAATGTGATGCACGAAATTTCGCGCGTCAGATTCTATTCCGATTTTATGTATACTATTTTTGAACTGATAAAATAGTATTTTCCTGCATCATACAACGGTTTCCCGGCTATTCAAGAGATCCAGGATACGACATGCAGTTCCACGCGATCTTGCTCGCGTCAACTCCCACGCGACTCTTTTTCTATCTCGTCGACGTGGCGAGCGCAATGTAAATGACAGCGGATAACAAAGACTGTATCATTCGCATCGGACAATTTCCGACTTCCTCTCGATAACCGCAACGGCGTTAATTAACCTGTATATAATTGATATTGGTGACTGCCCAATATCTGTCGACCGCGATAGCCACCAGATGCAATATCGAGGCTGTGCAACATAGAACGTCGCTGCTGGTCCACATGTCGCAGAGCTCCGGACCGAGTGACCATCCCGAGTTTATCTGCAATAAACAGAATTATCTATCATAGAGCGTGAGCTTAGCGCGGCCTGGGAGCATAAGCGGATAATCGATGTGGCCGCGAAAATTGCAAGTCTTGCATCAAAGTGTTTCGAAATAAAATAAGCGCACTGAATGAGTGATCATTCATCAGTAAATGTGTCGATTGTTCCGTTTTGTCACTTTTATGAAAGCAATGTAAACATATCTTTGCAAAATTGAAAATACAATATTATCAGTATAATTATTAATTATATACCATCTAAAATAGTAAAAAATTAAGAATTGATAAGCAAGAAAAATCTATGGATTCGTTTATTATTTATAATAGCTTTTTATCAATATATATTATATTATACTTATGCATACTGCATACTTATATATATAATCATTCTCAAAAATATTATTTATCTATACAATATCTATATGTAAATATATGTAAAAGCCAGTTTTTACACACGTAGTACATATGACACAGAAATCGGTAAATAAATGGAAATTATTTCTAGCTGCGCAAACAAGGATTGGTTAGTTGATTAATATGTTAAGGATTGCACATAGTTTGGTGCGACAGTTCGCCATGCAGTAGGGACAAAATACGGATTGAGGGTCGAAAGGGAAAACATCTGAGCCATGGCAGACGGAGGGACGACGGAGAGTACGGAAAGGGAGCCGGTAAGAGCGATGTTGTAGAAGAGACGGCTAGAGAAGGGGAGGAGGGAACTCTGATGCATGCCTGCTTAAAAGTCCATTCATGGTATTGGAATCTATCTTCGAAAGCCAATCGCGTCCCTTGTCCTCCTTTCAACGCGGTGGCCCCTCTGTCCATAGACGTTCGTTTCTTTATACTTTGAGATCAGAACATTCCGGAAGTCGATGAGTCTCATCCATCTTGTCGGAAATATAAACACTTCTCAAAAATAATATCAATTGTACGTAAGTCGATAAAGGAGCAGTTTTAGATAGAAAAAGATCGCGATTCGCGATACGAGATAGTGACATAATTTATCATATGTAAAATTATTAAGAAAATATATTATTTATATATTTGACATTATAAAATAAAAAAAAATGTGTTTAAGGTTTTTTGTTATCTTTTTTTCCGTTTTATTAAGAAATAATCATTTCTATATTAATTAATTATTAATAATAATAGATAAGCAAATTGCTAACGCACTTCTAAGCAATTTTGTTTATATCAGGCATCTTTTAAAGTCTCCAAGAATCTAATCAAGCGTTACGTGTACATGTGCAGTTAATGAAATCGTTTGCGTGCACGTTTCTGATATCTACCGATAAACGTCGGGCGAAAGAGATGGCCGTAAAATGAACATCCATCAAATATTCGAATTAAACGGCAGACGCATAAATTTCTATGTGGTCTTTATTAAAGAGATGCATGTAATCCCGTTTAGTCAGTATACGACTGGAAAAGTCGCTATTACATCTCCTGTTGGCTGAATGGCGGTCGAAATAGAACTGCACCATTAAATGATAACATGCGGGAGATATCGATACGCTGACAATGGCAAGAAGGCAGACTTAAAAGGATACAGGAAAAGAAAAAGAGAGAAGAAGCGAGAGGAAGCCATTCTACGTTGCTGAAAAGTGAGAAGGAAGAATCAGGTGCGCTTTGGAAAATATGAGAGTGTAAAAATATAATATAAAGAAAAAGTGGAATGAGGGGAGGGAAAAAATGCTGATGTAGGATTTATATAGAAGCCCGCAGGGCAGGCAAGATGTAAAAAGGTTGCGTTAAGAAAACGAGAGAACTAAATAAGGATATACGTTAGTTGAAAAGATTCTGCGCGCATGAGGGGGGATAATGCGCGTATTCAAACTAAATGAATAGAAGAAGAAGGAATGCGCGAGCACAAGGAAATTCTTTTTTTTTACATCAATTCTAATTAAATTCGTATCATTGATACGGATTTTCGCTAATAATCTTGGCGTTTATCAATTTTCTCGCAAAAGCTAAATATATCGAGTACTTTAAAAGCTGAATGCGCGTTTTAAAAATGAATTATTTGTTTGAAAATATAGTAAAACGATCGCGCTCGAGCGTATTATCGCTCTCATGGCAATTTCCGATGAAATCTTTGTTAATTGGATAACGTGTCGAAAAGCAGCGCGAAGCGGTAATTAACGTCTATGTTATTCCCATTCCGTTCCCGTTTCCGTTCGTGTATTAGAGTTTATTAAGTATAAATGTGCACGGCGTAGCGTAACGAACTTCGCTAGGGGAGAATCGAAAGCTAATCATTCGTATATGTGTATATATCGCTCGTTATCTCTATATGTGTGTGTATTTACTCGCACCTTCATTCTTGAATATGTACGAGTATATGTGTAACAACGTTCTTTATCGTTCGCGTTTACGCTGGGTATATAGAAATAAGAGATACCACGGTAGAGAAAACTGCTTTAGCTTGTGAAATTTGCAGATCACAATCGTGATATTATAGTGCACACACAATATATTTAAGAATATGGTATTTATAAAATATCATATTCACGAGATATAAAATTCTAAAAGCCGACTTCTATAGAATTTATCAAAGTTTCGCGTATATGCTATTCCCAATTTTTTGAAATGTAACGTGTTGAATATTTATACGTGATATATGATAAAGCGAGCTCTTCACTGCAAATTATTGCACCGTAATTACTACACGTAGTTAATTATAAAATTTACGGCAATTTTCGCGATTTCAACTTTTTACGTTGGTAAACCATTGTTAAATTTTTCTTCGTAATTTATATAATCCGCGCATATCTGTACGTTATTGAAATTCTGCGAGAAAATTTTATGAAGCTTTTGAACACAATAAATTGTCGCAGCTCATGCATCGCGTTTGATTCTTTTTTGTCGCAATCAGTGTAAAATAGAATTAACAAATTCTCTAAGATAAAATAATTTAGCGTTTAAATGCCAAATTCTCGGGGGATGCGTTTCCTCGCGCGACTTTTTTCCCAGACACAATGTCCGCGCAATGTAAAGCCGTAATAGGAAAAGGCGAGAATGCACGCGCGTTTCTTACGGATATTATAAACTTGTGAATAGCTGCACCGGACCATATATGAAAGTTTAACAATGAAAATGTAACGCGCGAGGAGAGAACGATCCTCTATGTGATAAGAGAATGACCATTACTTGACTATTCCGCCGAAAATTTTGCACAAAAATTTTACCTCATAAATGTAGGTTGCCATAAAATGCGATAAAATTGTGACACGTGTTTTACGACAATAATTACAACAGTATCTCGCCGAAGATGTCTTAAATTAATCATTAAATCTCGTAGATCTACAGAGCGCGCTGCTCGTTCATTCATTTTTACAAAAGTTAAATTAATATTTTATTATAATTTTACTGTCTAATTTTACGGACCAGGCGTGCGCAAAATATCTAGGATATTTAGGAGACTTTCGAGACGAATATCTTGGAATGATAGTTATTCACAGCGCCAGTGAAAATGCGAATCATTTTCTTTTCATGAATTTCCCGCGGTTTCATATTCTCGTGTATTCGGCGCTAAAAACTTGATTGCGCACGTTTTCTTACCACACAGTACGGTTTGTTGCGAATAGGTTGGACGGCAATAACTTGTAGTCTTCTTTAATAAAAATATTACGTACCTCATAAACAGCTCCGAGAGGCATAACAAGGCAGGCGACCATAAGATCCGCGACAGCCAAACTGACGATTAAGTAATTTGCTACGGATTGCAAATTTCTCTCTAATACGATAGCCGCTATTACGAATAGATTCCCTGTAACAAAAACATGTATCGTCGTGAATGACATTTGCATAATTTATTCGAAAATAATATTATATATAACGAAACAATATTATTCTGTTCTCATGTTAAGTATAGATGCATACATTAAATGCATAGCAAATTATTATGAAAACAGTATATGTGTCTTTTTCTTTTATGAGAAGGGTAGCAATTTTAAATTTCATAAGCGTAATTGCAATTTTTTCATTAAATCTAATCATGTGTTTTAAATTCTGGACATTTGCCGAGTAATATTTATATTACTTGAAACATTTAATTAGGTCCACATTTTATTTTATCTTTCTCTCTCTCTTTCTCAGCGCTTCAAATCCATATTAATTGGATGTTATATACAACAATTTAAGAAATATATATTGTAATTTCTCTCCATAATGTACACACGCATATACTTAATTTTTACACTAATCGATCTAAGCGTTGGTAGGATGGTATTTTTTAACCAACAGTCATGGTGCACAAATATCTAGATGCGCGAGTGTGTTTCAAATATTTTCAACTTTGTGTGAGAAAACATCCAAGAGAAAAAATATGCCCACAGAGTACATATATACACTATAAAGAGAAATTATAATATATATCTCTTAAATTCTATATAACATCCAATTAATATAGTATTTGAAATATTATATATATATACATATGTACAGTTACGTAACCGCTAGGGAGTTATGTCGTGTCCGCGTAGCCTCGCGAAATTAACCGCGGTCACGTGACTGAATCTCGAACCGGACCGTTACTTGAAGCCGTGTGTCGCCGGTGTGCAGTCGAGTCGCGATCGCTCCGTCTTTTCGCGTCTTTTTAATCCACCCCAGGTGAATTTCGTATCCGGACGAACGTCGAGGATGTCGATTCTAGTGTCAGGTAATCATCTCAGTACATTAATCGGCTTGTGCGATCGCGATTAATGGCGTTTCTTATGCATGATCGACGCATTCCACGCTCCGTCGAAGCAACGGTAACGGTTTCTAATACGCGCGTATTTCACGATGTACGCCCGATATGTCGCGTAGTCGCGCGAAATTAGCCGCGGTCACGTGACTGAATCTTGAGCCGGACCATTACTTGAAGTCGCGCGTCGCCGGTGTGTAGTCGAGTCGCGATCGCTCCGTCTTTTCGCGTCTTTTTAATCCGTCCCGAGTGAATTTCGTATCCGGACGAACGTCGAGGATGTCGATTCTAGTGACAGGTAATCATCTCAGTGCATTAATCGGCTTGTGCGATCGCGATTAACCGCGGTAAAGTTTCTCGGTATACATGATCGACGCATTCCACGCTCCGGCGAAGCAACGGCAACGGTTTCTAATACGCGCGTATTTCGCGATGTACGCCCGTTCGACGAGCCGTGTCAGCATTCGGATTATCGAAAAGCATCGAGAAGCATCAAGGAGCATCGAGGGGTTTCGTCGCCGCGACGGATCGCGCTTGTCCACGATATTTGCGCGCCAAATATCGGCGCGCGCACGTCCGCCATGATGGCGCGTCATTTCGAATTTTCGCGCAGTGTCGCGCGCGATAAGTATCGGGAGTGCCTGGTGAATCTACGGTCGATAATGTAAAAATTAAATAATGGTAATTATCGATTGGTATTATCTATTGATCCATATCAACCGCGTCGAATTAATGTTAGGGCGCGCAACGTATTATTTCGCGCGTTATATTATGTGTGTGAATCGTCAGTGCGCATCGCCAATATATCGAGGAACATCGAGGAACATCGAGGATCATCGAGGATCATCGAGGATCATTGCGGAAGCTGTAACGAATTAGTCAGGAGAGATTATCGCTGCTCATCTAAGATATATTTGGCTGTGAGTGATTCTTTAATTATCTCGATCTTTTTATCATGCAGTATAGAATTTGCCCAGATGTAAAAGAATAAAGACATTTTTTTATCGATTTCGAATAACAAATAAAATTTTTTACAGTTTTATTACGTGTGTGAATTGTCAGTGCGCATCGCCGATATATCGAGGAACATCGAGGAACATCGAGGATCATCGAGGATCATCGAGGATCATCGAGGATCATCGAGGATCATCGCGGAAGCGAATTAGTATGTAACGAATTAGTCAGGAGAGGTTATCGCTGCTCATCTAAGATATATTTGGCTGTGAGTGATTCTTTAATTATCTCAATCTTACAAGTTCGCTTTATCAATCGCGGCTGTTGTCATGTGCGCGGAAACTCATTTATTTTTGCGTATAGAGCAACGATGCGTATATGAATTGCGTATTATACTCGCTTTTGACGTCATACTGACAAAATTAAACGATATAATTTACTTTTATTCTCGGACACAATAAGAAAATAATTAATATTTTTATATTTATAGTAAATTTTAGAATAATTTTCTAAATATTTTTACTACAGAGCCTGAGGCTATATCATTTTCTAATTTTATTATGCAGTCTCAGGCCTCAAGATGATAACTATTAAGAAATATCTGATTATATCTTTATGCAAGGTACGTTAAGAGTTTGCACCGCATCGTTTAACCTTTATAAGATCGAAGGGTAAGGTGGTAATAACATATTCAGTTTGCGTCGGCGATCTAACCTATCGGCTTGCTATTTTTTTTTTTTTATGAACGAACAAGACGCTTGTCAACATCGTATATACAGTGTTTAGCAAGAAACGTTTATTTCAAAAACTGATGTCTATTTTTTCTTAAAAGTTTCTCAAAAGTCTTTTTCTATTTTTTTTTTTAAAGTTTAACGCTACTTATTAATAAAATAAAATAGAACAGTTAAATTAAAATTAAATTAAATTATTCTATTATCTATTATCTAAAATTAAATTTAATAATACATGTTCGATTTTTTATATAACGTGTATGAATATTTATATATCGGCTGATAATTCTGCCTGACTTTATATGACTTAGAATCACTTTTTTACAAGTTTTATTTCTACGAACAAGAATTACAAAGTGTTCATTCTATTCCTCACGCACAAATAGTTTTTATATTTAATTTTATGAAAATTATAGATATTGCATAACTTATTCTATATTTAATAATAAGATATCCTTTTTTCCCATTATTGTTTTCAATCAATTTCTAAATTATCTGAAAAATTGGAAGGTGAAATCGATTATCGTTCTTTGTTAGATATTTCCATAAATAACCGTCGTTTCTGATTTTGCACATTTGCCTGATTATAATCAATTAATTCCACGTGTGCGCTAATAGCGAACGCGAAATCTCGCGTTCCGGCTGTCTATGACTCCAAAGAGAAATAAATGAATCTACTTAATGTAATGCGCTGCATTCGAGGAGTTTCGCTCGATTTGCGACGGTTCTTATACGACGAGGGGATTATTTAATTTATATTTGCGCAACGATATTCACGGTTTTGTGGCTCGCCAAGCGTTCATAAAATTTATTCTACACCGGGAAGAAGAGAAAGAGAGCAGGCGTATCCATGGCAGCTGACGTCATAGAATTTGCCCAGATGCAGGAAAATAAAAACATCTTCTTATCGATTTTGAATAACAAATAAAATTTCTTACAGTTGTCTGAAATTATAAAAAAATACTTAAAAACTTTTGAACGTGTGATAAAGGAAGGAAAAGAACAATTTTTAAGATTACATTTTCAAAATCTATACGCATGTGTGGAGGCAATCAGAGTCTGTAATTGCTGTAACTTGTACGAAATATATATGTAGGTTGGAAAGCGTAAATTGCAAAGTCGTTAAGCAAATTGAGATTGCAAATCGCCCGTCACGCTTTCGAGTTTTTAATAATAGGCGTAATTGGCACTGCAAGAGGCAAATTCGAGCTGGTCGTGATCAATTCTGACGGCGTGCCTGAATAGCGGCAATCAACTTCGGCAAACTCGGGACAGACGAAATCAGTCGTACGTTCCTAGACGTGTTCCGGACGTGATGGATCGATCGCACGCGCATTTACGAAATATTTGTCCAAGTTAGCCGAATCATCGTCGCTCTTCGGCACGTATCAAGCCTTCGCGCTCTAGGGATAATACAACGCACTTAGGATCTTGGCTGTACACGAGGGTCAATCGATGGAAGAAACCTACAGGTAAGAAACGTGCAACGTTCCGAGATCGTCCGGCAGTCCCTTGAAAAATTTCTCCCTCGAGGCGAGAACGGGTCAGACGAATAAATATCAGGCTCTGCGAAAGGGACGTTCTTAGGTTGATAGCACGTGTTGAAAAAGAATTTGTATTTTCGTACACGTGTCGCGTAACATCTTCAAATCTTATTTGTATCCTTTAAGCGACAAGAAGAAATAAAATTACCACATCTTCAAGGTGTAACGTACGTGTGTAAAATATATATTATTAAAAAGTTAAAAACGCGTTTGACATTGCAGAATAGTTATTTTAATAAGAAATGCTTTTCTTAAATAATTTTTGTCCTATCCTGAGTGTTTACTCGTAAAATTGTCATGAGAAAAAAAATTGGGAAATATTTATAACAAAAATCAAGTCAAATTTTAGATAAAAAAAATCTGAATAAATTATAAATGTACTTTTTTTGGCGTGTTAATAGCTTAATCGCAAACTGCGGTAGAACCGTGAAACTCGGCGGTAATCAGAATTTTCAGGCTCTCTTATAGGAAAGGAATTCATGTATTAGTAACGCAATGTTCCATTCATGCATTACGTAAACGCGCTCGACTGCCGCTGGTTTAAGCATATCTGAGGGAAGTGGATAGAAGCTTGAACTACCGTTTGCGAGGATATTACATGGTGCTGATGTACGCTATTCTGCGTACCGTAGTACTTCATGTCCCTCATTCCGCCTGGATAGCCGATGTTCCCTCCAATTTTTCGCGGGGCGTGTACAAGAGAAATTGCGCCATTATTGTTTATAACATGAAATTTATACAAGATACATGATAATAAAAGTATCGTAAAAATAATAACGCGTATTCTCGAATAACTAAGGAATTACAGATATTACTAAATATAATTTATAATTTTATTATCTTATTTAATATATGTTTTAATTATACATATATTAAATAAGATAATAAAAGTATATTCATTAGATGAGTAAAATAAAAAAAAAACAATTATTAATTCTTAAGAATATTTGTTTAGTTAAACTTTTGATTAAAAAGGAATAATTTTAAGATACAGGAAATAGAGCGAGATTAAGTCCAGGCCTTCAAAGGTTAGATAGCGCGCAAAGAGTGTAAATGTGTACTAATTAAATTTAATACCCCAGAGGGGGACAAAAATAGACTTCGCTTAAATTAAAGGGCGGGTTAACTTTGAGAAATGATCGAGACTACGTAAGTCGTACTTTCTCTCATTTTATCTACCTACCTACGCCGTAAGTCGATATAAACGTACGACAGGAGTCGTACTTCTACAAACGTCGGACAAATTTCTTCCCTTTCGCGTCCATTAGTTTCGCATTACGTGTCTCTGCAAATACACGGCCTGCGACGATGGTTGTATCTGGCTCAGAGGACAACAAAGACGCGGGTATTAAATGCACTTCTGCAGCTGCAAATGCAGCCGGGATGTCTCCACGGGAAAAGTAGCGAACCGTTAGTTAGCCAGTGAACTATACTAATATTGGAATGCGCTCCGAGCCTGTCAAGTCGTTGAGGAAGCGTGTATATGTGTATATATGCGGATACGTAGATGTATACAATAGTTGCCGGCGAATTTCTTTCGCATCCCTCTTGGTTACATCGCCATCCTAGAACATTATAGCGGAACGATAAACTTACTTGTTTTCTCCGACAACTTTTATCTATATCCTCTTTCGAGAGATAAACGGGTCCGCAGGGAGATGTTCATGGATTTATTTCGCGAGACTTAATAGCTGACGGACGGTGCCGGCATTGCTAATGCAAAATCAGGGCTTTGCGTCTATCGTGTTGTAAATAAACGACGGGTTAATGGTAACAATTAAATAGTAAATAACTTTCATAGAACAGAGAGAGTGAGAGAAAGAACAATATGCAACGTGCTCCACAGAATTGGCCATTTAATTCTTAAATTACAAACTAGATTAAATGAGGAACAGGATTCTGTTCATTATTTAAATTCTAAAGCTTATCTCGTTCTTCAGTGATTTATTCAAAAACAGTTTTACAAGAAACAACTCTATGCGTTTCCACTTTTTGCTAATTCTGGAACATCGTGTATAATATAGATTATGAAAATATTAATCGCTTATCGGTCGCCGATGATCGATTTCTTGACGAATATCGTGTAAAGCCCGCGAAAGTGTCATTTATCACGCATTATGATCAGATAAAAATATCTTTAGCGTTGATAATGATTGATCAGAAATTTTGGTATTAAAATTCGCGCTCCATTATTCATAAAAGGAGAGCCAAGAAGGAATAGTTTGATACAAATCGCGGAGCAAAATGTCAGGTTGCTTGCCCCGCGGAAAATTCTGTTTACGCAAAGCACGCGGGTGGATATCGCGATTACCGTCAACGCTCGGTGATATATTATACATCCTGGAAACGTGTCAGTTCTCTAAAGCAATCTTTGCCATTGTTCTCCTCGATGCGAACACGATCGCCGGATGGTCGTTCTCGCGAAACCATCATCGGCGGGGCCGGCGACGATAGGGGGTAGAGTTATTTGTCGCTCGCATATAATTACGACAAGAAGAACGATTAATCGATGCGGTGAGATCAATTGCGCGTCGCGTAGTGACTGTTCGACCGGTAGTTTGGCATGTGCAAAAAGAAACGATTCGTCGAATCCGGATCGGTAATTTTTATTAATTGCCGCCGGGAGAGAGCACGTTCGAATGGGAGCATAAATGATTGACTCAATTATCGTTGAATTGAGGCGTATCGATTTTTTTTTTTTTTTTTTTTTTTTTGTTTTTTTTTTGTTTTTTTTTTTTTTCACAATAAATTGAT